TAGGCAGTAGTTCATCATATATACACGTATGTGCATGTATGTGTATATTTTATATGTAGGTATTAATATATAAATAGTAATTACCATTTTATAATAAAATATAAACAAAATGGCACAAATTTACTGGGTACAGAGGAATAATACCTGAGTCCTCAGGAATGGCAACGCATGGGGGGTATCATGGGCGAAACAGTATACTCTGTTATGTCCATGGTACTGCTCATGTCTATAGGTGACGGTTACCACTTTCCATCAGGTGGGTCGTTAGCTTATTTGTAGTGTAGCTTCTAAGTAGTATAAAAAAAAATTTTAACCGCCATCGAGTCCTCTGCACAACCTAAAGGTTGACTGATAGAGATTGCCTATAGCATTAAGTCTGCTATTTTATTGGTCAATAAAGTTTAAATAAATAAAAACATTACAAAATATATCTGACACCCCACTGGAAATTACAATCGCCAGCATATTTAATCTGGTCTATTATATTTTAAAAAAATATCCCATATTTTGACCCAGACACTAAGTTCTACACAAAATTTGCTCAAAATCGGTCTAGTAGTTTTTGCGTGAAGCTTGTACAGGTATGATCTCTACCTAGTTTTTTTTAATGCTTTATAATGGAATAGTAACCCCGCCTGCGCTATCGGTATACACTGGCGGAGCACTAGTGAGGGATGATAGATGAGAATGAAAGAAGGCAGGTCAATTAGCCCATCGCGATGAATACACTTGGAATTCAGCACGATGGTTTTCAGGGGGGACCACGGGGAAGTCAACCTGGTTGGGTATATTGCTAGCAATAGAGCTCTTAGTCTCCGTTACTAACAATCCCTCCCCCCCCCCCCCCACGATCTTTCTAGTTGAAATTTTATAATAAGATTGACTAGTAAAAAATGCTTATAGCATTAAATCCACCTTTTATGCCATATTTTATTAGTTCCTTACTTATTGTAAATAAAATCTCTATATAAAATAGATATTAAAATTTGGAAAAGTGATTGGATGATTAGATATTGATATTTGTCACTTAAACATCTAAAAAGATTTAAATTTTTGATGCACTAATGAATACTTATCCGTATTTGTTTCGACAAAGCCACTAAATACAGCTTATAAAGGTTCTAGGTTAAAATTATTTGACCCATATTTCTTTGGAAAAAAATTTCATTTTCACGAAAAGAATGCTAAAGATTTCGATGACACTTATACGTAAATACTGCGTCTTAATAAACAACATTTTTGTGATTTTTCTACTTCTTAACCTTGACTTAAAATACACAGTTTTTCGATGTGTGCGTCAAAAGGGACGCTAAAATATTTATTAATTGCAACATCAGAATTTGGCGCGAATTTATTTAAATTAAAAAACAATTACGCCACAGCCAATGTAGCTAATATGAACCACAGCTACTACTCTTTATCTATGCTTTCGGGCCATAGGTACAATTCTTAATCTATAATTTTAGTCCATAGGTAACATTCTTAATCTATGACTTTGAACCGTATCTACTTACCTTCTTTTTCATTAAAACTAAAACCTGGAAACATGGAGACTGAGAATTCCATTGCTAGCAATATACCTAACCAGGTCGACCTCCTCACGGTTCCCCCTGGAAACTATCATGGTTAATTCCTGATAAATTCATCATGATGGGCTAACTGGCCTGTTTTCATTCTCATCTATCACCCTTCACTGGTGCTCCGCCAGCGTATCCCGTTAGCGCAAGCGGGGTTACCATACCATTTTCACCCATTAAACAAAAAAACCTTTCTTAAACCTACTTTTTCTGTTACAAAGTTTTGTTACTTTCATTCAAACTGATAATTTAGCAGAAAATAAAGAAATAAAATCTATTCAATATCTAAAATAGATAAGAGGTTTGACTTTTTAAATAATAAGAAAGTAAATCTATAATTTTAGTACGTTTTTAACTCTTGATTCTCCAAAGATCTGAAGTTAAGATATTGCGAAAATCTAAATATCGTTTTTTCTCAAACTCAGCGAACTTTCAGGTGCGACTGCCAGCTTGCTGCGTGATGTATTGGCCCAGTAGAATGATAATAATGGCCGGATGATAGATATCGAGTTATAATTTAACCAATAACCGCCTCTCAAACTTGCACTTCTTTTCTCGTCACACTAGAAAGTTTATTGGTGAAATTTTTCGACGTTTCTGATTTATTTTATTCACACTTTGACATTTTATTATACCGATATATTTTGTTATATCCAATAGTAGGTAAAAAATAACCTATAAAAATTAAGAAATTGTGTATAAATCATAAATACCTACTTTTTAATGCAATTATAAATATCTAAATATTTAGAACAAATTTTAAATTTATTGGCTACAAGTTTTCACAATTTGACTTTATTATTATTGTTTTTTTTTTCTATAATTTTTTTACCAATTTATTGACCGATTCTAAAGATTATTGAAAATGTTTAGGAACTATCATACAGACAGGTAGAACTTGACACAAAATAATACAGATGTTTCTTTATTTTATTTTTTTTTTTTTTATTTTTCAATATTGAAAAGAATTAATATAAAATTCCATTTTTTTTTAAATAAAAATACAGAATAATCAATTTAAATTATTTTTCTTTTGAATTATTATTTCTTTATAATTTTTACATAAGTAGAATAAATAAGGAAAAAACTCAACTGTAATTTTTTTTAGTCGAATATAATTATGTGTATATAGTACATAATATTACAGTAGGTATCCTTATATAGAATTCGTCTCATAAATATGCGTTCATCGTTATGAAACTTCAAGATATATCTTCAGTCATTTTGCTCGCTTATCAACATGAATGATAGGTACCAACTCCCCGACCGTAGTTAAGTATCTTTCGACAAACGCATTGAGATTGATTTTATATCTAACTACGTCTGATGTATTATTACTGCGAGTAGTATAGTATTTTTTATTTCTTTTTTTTTTGATGGGTGAAAATGGTATGGTAACCCCGCCTGCGCTAACGGGATACGCTGGCGGAGCACTAGTGAAAAGTGATAGATGAGAATGAAAACAGGTCAGTTAGCCCATCATGATGAATTCATCAGGAATTAACCATGATAGTTTCCAGGGAAAACCGCGAGGAGGTCGACCTGGTTTGGTATATTGCTAGCAATGGGATTCTCAGTCTCCATTACTAACAATCCCTTTCCCCCCAGTAGTATAGTATTATATCATGTGTCTTTATCGAAATACTGACGAGGCCATAATTAGCAATAAACAAAATAAATAGCCGACATTTTCATAATTATATCTGATTTTTAGCTCATACCCGGATATTGAACTCCAATGCAACAAATCGAATAAAATTAGATTCGACAGCAACACAATTCTGAATCGCGCAATCAACTAACTCGCAACATTTACGCGGATATATTGAGTGTCAACTCGCCATCTTGTTGTTGATAAACTAATTAGCGGAACGCGATGCGATATCATTTGATTACACCGCCGACAGATGGCATTGATTCGATTTCAACATGGCGCCCGGCAAACGTCACAACTTCGCGCCAAGTTTGCGCCGCGAAAATTGACGCGACCGTTTATTAATTGGATTTTGAGTGTTTGTTAAATTATCGGAAGGGAAGACTGAATGCTCTCTAAGTGAGCTTTAAAATCAATGTATTTGTAACAATTTTAAAGACAGAAGACTAGGCGTTGCCTATTATTTTGTCTACCACTTTACATAAACTCCGATCTGCATTTATCCGAAGTTTATGACTGAAATAATTTGTTTTCAAATGGATCACACCATATCATTTATTCTCGCTACGCTCACATTTCTAACACATTTTCTTTTATACACCCTATAGGTATTTTAGTTACGTCCGCAAATCAGACCAAATACCGTCGTACTTACCTGGGGGAAAACGGATTGCCAGCAATACACCCTATCAGGTCGACCTTCACGTGGTTCCCTCTGGAAACGATCGTGGTAAATTCTAGTGCAATTCTCCACGATGGGCTAAATGACCTGCTTTCATCATCACCTATCATCCCTCACTGGTGCCCCGCCAGCGTATACCGATAGCGCGGGTAGAGTTGCCATTCCATTATCGCCCATTAAAATACGTACTTACCTAAAGTTTATTTGAAATTACGTTATTTAAAATAACTTTGTAAAAAACGAAAGCATTGATACACTTTTTTAAAATATATGTAATTTTTTCATTAACTGTCTGTTTATACATTCCTTATTTTTTATCTTTTTTTTTATTTTAAAGGTATAGTTTGCAATTTAAATCAAAAACGCTATTGAAAGAAATATGTTTATGCATGGACAAAAATTTTAAAACATTTCATCCTAACTTAACTGCTCGATCTGAACACGATTTTATAGGCTTTAATTAAAGCTTAAATATATACTAATAAAACATGGCAACAAAAAGACGACCTTTTTTATATCATGATTGTTTTGGAAAAGTATTCAAATTCAGAGACTCTCTTAAAAAAATTAAAAATACTGATAACGTTTATTCCTTATTTGTAAGTTTCCTTTCGATTCTTCTACTTCAATTATTGTTATAACAGGAACCATGATCAAACAAAAATTGTAAATTGTCACAGTGTTGTACAACGCTCTATCCGCTGACATCCATGCTCCTTTCCATTTTAGGTTTGCTGGAAGAGAACTCTTGTAAAGTTAAGCTCGCCTTTGAACATTTGCTTTCCACTGTCATATTTCTTTAGGTATTGTTATTGTATACAATAAAATATGAATAAGATAGATAGATAGATAATGTATTTGCATTACTTACAGCACACAAATTATAACAGATACGGATATACATAAAAATCGATTTAAAATAAATTATTAAAAAATAAATACATAAAGCCAAGTACAATTTTTCCTTTAGTGCGTGTGCCATAACAATACAAAATGATCAAAACTCAGTTTATTGCTTCGCCCTCAAAAGAGCAAAGCACTGATATTCTGTTGCGGCCAAATAAATTTACTAAATAAACCCTCACAGGTGTAGGATATGCGATTTGCATGATCGACATCTATATGGGAATGTACTACAATACGATCATCGGATGGGCGGTCTACTACCTCATCGCCTCGCTCGCGTCCATCAACTCCGAGCTGCCGTGGACAAGCTGCAACAACCCATGGAACACCCCACTCTGCACTCCAGTCACCAACCCCCAACAAAACCCCAATGGTACCACGCCGGCTAAAGAGTTTTTTGAGTAAGTTCTCAACTTTACAGCTATCTGTAACAACACTGCATTGAAATTTCTTTTTGAACGATTTGAGGGCGACCAAAGTCTTTTGGGTATGTATTCTAGTATTAATTCTAACAATTAACAGTTTACCTGGATGATATAATCCAGTCTGAATAGTATGGTATTGTAGCTATTACTATGTATTTTAACTTTTTTTTATGCAACTTAGAATGTGCAAACAAGCTGACGGCCCACCTGATGAAAAGTGGTAACCGTCGCCTATAGACATGAGCAGTACCATGGACATAACAGAGTATACTGTTTCGCCCATGATACACCCCATACGTTGCCATTCCTGAGGACTCAGGTGTTATTCCTCTGTACTGTTATATAGCCGTGGTTATGTACAACATACGAACATAAAAGTGCTGAACTGCATTTTCGAAACAGTCAGCGGTTAACAATAAGGTATGCGTCATACCATCCATTTCCAGCGATTTTTCGATATATTTTAATTCAGACCGGATATGAACCTCAGACGAACAAGACGCTTTGTTAATTTTCATAATAAAGACTCGTGCTAATTAAAATAATTTTCTTTTTAAAAAGTCTCATCTGACCCACCCCGTAACAGTGGTGTCAGAAGTGGGATTGTTTTAGCATCGTAATTGCTAAACTCCCATCACGCGCGGGGAAATATATGAGACTTTCGTTCTATTCCCAACACCGTGTTGTGCTGAACTCTGTGTCGTGCTGAACTCTATGTTATTTTGAACTCTGTCTCGTGCTGAACTCTGTGTCATTCTAAACTCTATATCGTGAGCTGTACTACATTATAATCACGTCGCACCAGTGTTTGACAAAGTCGCGACAGTAAGTCTTGAAAATTAATAATTAAGCCTGCCGACTTGTCAACCGTTCCACCTGAAGTCTGCTGCACCGAGCTAATATAACCGTTCCGGTCTCCTACGCGTTACAAGCGTGTAGCCTTGTCGTCGCCGCTTCGTGTCGCCACCATCTCCTGACAATTCAAAATAGTCTACCTCCGCTTCGCGATGTCCTCGAGTTTACAACTAGCCGTCATCCTGTGAGTAAAGCATTTGTATTTCTGTTATTGTCACGTTCAGTCAGAGCATACTTTCAACTTTCTTTTCCATTTCTTCCAATTTTATATAGCAGAGAAATGACGAGCAAATCAGAAATGTCTGTTAATGAACTATTCCCCATTCAAGTTCTATGTAATTTTATAAATACATATCGGGGAGAACGCGAAACGCTTACAGCATTTTTAACTAATTGCCAAAATGCCTTGGAGCTTGCGTCCGAGAATCAAAAAAATTTACTATTTAAATTTATTATATCACGACTTGAAGGAAAAGCTCAGATAACATGTTCAAACAAAGTTTTTTCAAATTTTGAGGACCTTAAGTCCTTTTTAAGACAAAATTTTGGAGAGAGAAAACATTATAACCATCTTCTATTAGACCTACAGTCATGCAAACAAAGTGCAAATGGGTCAGTCGCCCAATTTGCATTAAAAATCGAAAGCTGTTTAACCGATTTACAAACCGAAATCCATAATTCTGACTCATACAAAAAAGATATACCAGGTAGAATCGCAATGACAGAGGATCTAGCTTTGTTCACTTTTTGTTTAGGGTTGAATCCTAAATTATGTAATATTGTGCGTTCAAGGCATCCGAATTCCTTAAATGATGCTATAAATATAGCCTTAGAGGAGGAGAAAATACAAAATCTAATATATAACTCTATTTCTAAGTCTAAATGTAAAGTTTGCGGAAAGCTAGGACATTCCGAGAATGAGTGTTTTAGTAAACAGAGACGCGTAAGTCATGGTAGCCAACCAATTCTTGTGCCCTACAAGCCTTCAGCGTTTACGCCATATCAAGGTAAACTTGCCTCTGAAAATTCTTCACCTATTATTTGTAGGTATTGTAAAAATATAGGTCATGATATTTCCCAATGCCGAAAGCGACAATATAATAACTCGAGGTTTCACAACCAAGGTAACAAGAACCAAACATATTACAGGCAAAACCAAATTTCAATCGAATCGCCGCCGTCGCCAGTTCTGTGTAATGAAAACAATGACAACAATCATTTAAACTGAAATATCGGGTATCAAACTTTTGCCGCCCGATGCCCGATACTCAGAAAGGCGCAAAAACAATTGAACCAATTTCTTCGAAATCGATAAAATTACCCAATATGGTCACTGTATCCTCTGTTTCAAAGAATCGTAATAAATCCACTGTATCTAATAATAATTCTATTTCCACTGTTTCTAACACTGTATCCACTGAATCTAATAATTACACTGTATCAAAAAATCCTAACAAATCCACTGAATCCGACTCATCATTAACTTCTATCTCGGCACCTGAGCCAATCCGTAATGATGGTCCCTCTGAGTCTCCACTGTCTTCTATTTCGCATGAGCGTGCCACTGGCAGTGAAAATACCTCTCTTAATATAAAAAAACGAAAAATTTCTAAATCCACTGTGTCCAAACCTATAAAAAAACAAAATCTACTAGACCGACTCGACCTAGAGGAATGCCTCATGATCTATGACATATCTCAATCAAAGAAAACATCTCTCCCATACATCCAAGTTAATACGTCTCATTCAAAAAAAACCCTTAAGCTATTAATAGATACAGGTAGTTCTATTTGTTTAGTAAAAGCATCTAGTTTAACAAGTCCACTGAATCTTGAGTCGAACACGGTTAAATTTAAAGGAATTAACGATGTCAATTCCTACTCGGAAACAAAAGGCAGATTAATGCTTTCTATAAAATTAAATAGTAAAATTTCTTTCCCATTCTATTTCCATGTTGTTGATAATGTGAACCTTGATTATGATGGAATTATAGGTTCTAATTTCCTAACTACTAACAAAGCGACGATATCTTATTCAGAATCAAAATTACAAGTTTCCGACGAGCCTCACGTATTCTTCGAATTAAAAACTGCTGAACCAATTTATGTAATTCCGGCCCGAAGTGAAATGTTGATAGAGTGTTCAGTTTCTAATCCGGACTTAGAAGAAGGATTGATATTAAATACGACATTGCAAGCTTATCCAAAACTCTGTTTCTCGAAATGCCTCACTAAAGTCAAACCTAACGGTAAAGTAAATGTATCAGTACTAAATACATCGGAACATGATGTTACACTACGTTCCATACAATTAACCTTAGAACCAGTTTCATTCATATTGGAAAATAGCAATTCAGACTCTTCCGAATTTATTAATTACGTCTCTCCCGAAAATTCTATCTCTAGTCTTAATCGAGAAAAATTAATTCAAGACGCGCTTCGCTGTGAGCATTTGAATAAAGAAGAAGAAGGCGCCTTGCGTACTTTATGTTCGGAATTTCACGACATATTTTATTTAGAGGGAGACCAATTAACCGCAACAAAAACAATTAAACATGAAATCCGTACAACATCACAAACTCCTATACACGTTAAAAGTTATCGTTTCCCCGAAATCCATAAGGAAGAGGTTAGTAGACAAGTAAAGAATATGTTAGATCAAGGTATCATATCTCCATCTGTGTCCCCGTGGTCTGCCCCTATCTGGGTAGTACCAAAAAAACAAGATGCATCTGGTAAGCCTAAGTGGCGCATCGTAATCGACTATAGAAAGTTAAATGAAATCACAATAGGAGATGCCTATCCTATTCCCAATATCACGGATATATTAGATCAATTGGGGCACAGCAAATATTTTACTACACTTGACTTAGCATCTTCCTTTCATCAGGTAGAAATGTCAGAATTTGATGCTGAAAAAACCGCTTTCAGCGTTCCCGGTGTTTTCGGACAACCAGGTCACTACCAATTTAATAGAATGCCATTTGGCCTTCGAAATGCTCCATCTACATTTCAAAGACTTATGAACATCGCACTGTCCGGTCTTCAGGGTATACACTGTTTCACATATATGGACGATATAGTCATTTTCGGTCATGACCTTGATACCCATATTCGTAAATTAAGACATGTATTCGAAAAATTACGTGAACATAACTTAAAACTTCAACCCGATAAAAGTGAGTTTCTGAGAAGGGAAGTTCAGTATTTAGGTCACATTATATCAGATGAAGGAGTGAAACCTGATCCAAAAAAGGTCGAATGCGTACAAAAATTCCCAGTTCCTAAAAGCCCACGTGACATAAAGTCGTTTTTGGGACTAGTTGGTTACTATCGCCGCTTCATAGACAACTTTTCACATATCACGAAACCTTTAACTAGCCTACTAAAGAAAGACACAAAATTCGTTTGGCTATGCGATCAACAGAATGCTTTCGATCTCCTTAAAAGTAAGATAACTACTGCACCAATTTTGCAATATCCAGACTTTACTAGACCTTTTGTACTCACCACCGATGCCTCCAATCACGCCGTCTCCGCAATCCTATCCCAAGGCGAAATAAATAAAGATTTACCAATAGCATATGCCTCTCGAACTCTAAATAAAGCCGAAGGTAACTATTCTACCACCGAGAAAGAGTGTCTCGCTATAATTTTTGGCACGAAAGTATTCCGTCCATATCTTTACGGACGAAAGTTCCATATCGTCACAGATCACAAACCCCTACAGTGGCTGTTTAACTGTAAAGATCCCAGTTCAAAATTAATCCGTTGGAGACTCAAGCTCGAGGAGTATGATTACGAAATTGTATATAAAAAGGGAAAAATCAATTGCAATGCCGACTCTCTGTCTCGTAACCCCATTCCTTTCACTGGTCCAGAAATCGCTGTTAGATCTAAAACATATAAAAACAATTTTTATATTAATAATAATAATACCCAAAGTCCTACCTCAGTTTCCTCTAAACATGTTCTTCCTGTTGACTCCGATGTCCCTTCCACATCTGAAACTTACGAAAAGTATTTACAAATTAGTCAACAACAAAATAATACTTACAACACTATAATAGAAGAACATAATGAATCACTGCTTAAAGCTAAATGCAAGATGATCACTTACCCGTCTGCTATCGATCTTGACGACTCTATCCCATACTGTTCTGAAATTATACAATTATCCAAAAATCAGAACGACGTAAATGATATTCGAAACATAGAGCGCGAATTATACACATTTTATAGTACTTCGAATGACAAACATATATTCACACATTTATTTTTACGAGTCCATCACTACGATGAAATCTCTTATAAAGATATATTTAATATGCTGCGAGATTATAGAGATATGATAACTACTTGGTACATGGAAGAAAAGGAGTTCGCCATCTCAGATTTTAAAGACCCTTTTAACAAAATCTCATTCTTAAAAATTTACAATATGTTATCTTTCCTATTTCACAACACAGGCATCAAAATTCACATATATCACAATAACATCCTATTTCCGACTCCTCCTGAGGTCCTTAAAATATTAAAGGACCACCACGACTCACCCTCTGCAGGTCACCCAGGTATTACACGTATGTATGATCAACTTAAAACAATGTACTGGTGGAAAAACATGTACCAAGATATAGAGAACTATGTCAAAGCATGCAAATCTTGCCAAATCAACAAGCCCATGCGTCATACGGGTAGAGCCCCGATGATAATCACGTCAACTGCTACAAAACCCACTGAAAAAATATTTCTGGATATTGTAGGCCCTTTACCTAAGACTACACCAAATAAATATCGATTCATTTTAACATTACAAGACGATCTAACTAAGTATTCCCAAGCCTATCCAATGCTAACTTGCTCAGCCCAAGAAACAGCCCAGATGTTAGTTCATTTCATTTCTCATCTTGGTATACCAAGAAATATTGTCAGTGATCAAGGTACAAACTTTTGTTCAGATGTATTTAAACAATTAGAAAGACTTTTCGGAATTAAACATATATTCGCATCACCATACCATCCGCAAACCTGTGGTGCACTAGAAAGAAGTCATTCAACGTTAAAAGAATATTTAAGATCCTACATAGACGAAAATTATCATACATGGGACCTTTACCTAAATACTGCCATGTTAGCATATAACTCTAATGTTCATTCGACTACAGGTTATTCCCCTCTCGAACTCTTGTTAGGATTTAAACCCTATACGCCTCAATCCATAGATCGTTTAGAAAATAATACATATACAGACTATATCCGCGCACTTAATCATAGGTTATACTATAGTCGTAATAAAGCATTACAAAACATACACAATTCAAAAGAAAGGTCGAAAAGGTATTACGATTCCCATTCTAGGCCAGTAACATACAACGCCGGCGATATGGTGTACATACGTTGTCACCACAAACAAAACAAAGCATTGTCGCCAGTATGGAAAGGTCCATATAAAATCATTAAAATAAACGGCAATCATACAGTGACACTCTTGATCAACCGTAGACATGTACGTCATCACTATGACGAAATAAAACTTGCCAACCTGTGAATCACTGTATGTAATAGTATCCTTCTCCGTCTCATTTCAGACACGTCACAATGCTGTGCTCGTGCCGCCAGTTTGTCTACACGTTAATAAAGTTAAAAAGTTTTCTTCTATATCATACCTTATTTATGGACATCAGCCTCGCGTTAAGAGAGGTCTGATAAATGCAGGTGGATCATTACTCAAATCCTTGTTCGGAACATTAGATTCGAATGACGCTATTAAATTCTCAGAAGCTATCGATGATGTACAGTCAGATGAAAAACAGTTAGCTCATTTAATGAAAGAAAATATTCATGTTATAAAGTCTACAGTATCTACCTTTAATGACACATTGTACAAAGTTACTGAAAACGAAAATAGGTTAAATAAAAATTTTGATATTATCAATAAGATGTTTGAACAAATTACAAATTCTAATGATAAGCTAGAAATAAAAACCCACTTAAATTCTATGTTAAATTGCCTTGACAGCATAATTATTACATTATCGTTCGATATAGAAGATATTAATAACGCAATACTATTTAGCAAATTAAATATTCTGCATCCGACTGTACTAAGTCCACATCAATTATATAATGAGCTCGAACGCAACACAAATAACTTGCCTAAGCATTGCGAACTCCCTGTATCCTTATCACTACAAAATATACATGATATCATAGATGCATCTAAACTAGTTTGTTATTATCATAACAGTAGAATTATTGTAGTTATAAAAATACCGCTCGTCCTTCCTCAACTTTATAATCTTTACCATGTAATACCGATTCCAGTGCCGTATGATATCTCAAAACCTGACACCTATGCGCTAATCGCGCCGACTGCTCGTTATGTGACAATAACAGCTGATCATTTGTTTTATTCATTTGTTGACGATGTTTCCAAGTGCAAGCTAATAAGTGATAAATACTATGTGTGTGATTTAAACAACGTGTTTTCTACTATTGCGCGGCCAATGTGCGAAATAGTGTTGATAACGGAAGTAGTGAATAAATTGCCAAACTCTTGTGAAGTGAAACTTTTAAAAGGTAACATAGACACGTTTCATAGAATAAGTAACAATCGATGGATCTATGTCCAATCGGAACCCGGGAAATGTCACATTTCCTGTGATAATGATTCCAATAATTATAATGAATTACTGTTTGGTATAGGTATATTCAAGTTAGAAGAAAATTGTAAAGCATTTTTCAAAACTCTCCAGTTTACGTATAAGAATAGCATAAGGTTAAATGTAAGCGCTACTACTGAAATTTCAAATTTCAACCTCATCGAAGATGACTGTTGCGAAAAGAATAAACTAAATAAAACTTTATCGAAATTGCCTTTCGTAAAATTAAATAATGTTCATAATTTAGATTCACTTTTGCATGCTAGTGTCCATCTAGACAGTTTCGAAAAGGAATTAGACAAGTTAGAAAATCCTACACATTTTCAAAAATATAGTGTTCAATATATGTCTGTAAGTTATGTTGTTTCAGTTATATTTCTATTGTATCTGTTATATAAGAGTAGAAAATTTATGTGTAAACGAGATTCGTCACGTTACTGTGTTCAAATATTTAATAACTGTAGCAATAAACAGTCTGGTTCTAAACAACCTATACAAGTTGTAAGCACTATTGATAAATCAAATAAAATCACCGACTCTTCAGATACCGAAGAACTAGAGATCCAGAATCCAACTCCAGTAAAAAAGAAATATTATCTTTAAAAAGTCATCCCAATATCAGAATTAAATAAAAACAACATTATATTTAGTTAAATAGTTAGATATTATAGAATCACTGGGTCACTGGTTCATCTTAACTTTACTATTTGTCTATTATTAGTATTCACTTAATTCTAATAATTTTGAATGTAACTCTAACATAAATAATAATTTAGTTATTACCAACTGTTAATTATATTAGTTCATTCAGTTTTCTATTTATGTCCTATTACGAATGTTTTAACTATGTTTAAACCTTAACTTTACTGTATCAATCACTTCTATATTATTATTCTATATCTTTTGTCTAGCACTTAAGGCTCATTCTTTATTTGTCCGACTGAGTTTCACATCTTATCATATTGAATTTATCATCATTTTCAACTATGATGATAAATCTTAACGGGGGGGTTGTTATATAGCCGTGGTTATGTACAACATACGAACATAAAAGTGCTGAACTGCATTTTCGAAACAGTCAGCGGTTAACAATAAGGTATGCGTCATACCATCCATTTCCAGCGATTTTTCGATATATTTTAATTCAGACCGGATTTGAACCTCAGACGAACAAGACGCTTTGTTAATTTTCATAATAAAGACTCGTGCTAATTAAAATAATTTTCTTTTTAAAAAGTCTCATCTGACCCACCCCGTAACAGTACCCTGTAAATTCACTGTCATATCCCACCCTTCAAACTGAAACACAGCCATGCAAACACAACTGCTTTAGAATAGAAACACGAATAGGACAGAGGTGCCCAAGCAAACGACTTTTGTACAAAGTACATTAAATGTATTTTTATGCATAATTAAAAAATAAAATATTAGCACTCTACACCCCTTCCCTATATAAACTATATGTGTGCGAAATTTCATACTCCTCCATTCGCGCAATTTTCATAAAAAGGGATACAAGTTTTTGGTTCACGAATTATTATATAGATAATAAAAATACTTAAGTCCCCCAAAAATGGACGTAATTTTTCTACAGACGCAATGTACTGGAGCAACAAAGGTCGAACGGTCTGGATGACATGGGCCCCATCAAGCCGTCTCTCGCGTTATGCGTCGTCGGAGTATTCGTGCTGGTTTACTTCTCTTTGTGGAAAGGAGTCAGGAGTACTGGTAAGGTGAGAACAATGAATGTCACACTATACAATATTTAATAGTACACTCCTCGCAAAAATTAAGGGAACATAAAATTTTTTTAAATTTTTGGGTGATTTTCAACAGGCTGTATTTCAGTGAAAAATAATCGTACAGGAAATTTAAAAAAAGGGTTTTGAAGCTTGAAAACTCTAGTTTTCAGATTTTTTGGTGAAAAAATTTTTTGAGCTCCGGTTTTCATGCAATTCTTAAACAAAGCTGAAAATAATTTTTTTCTAAATTTTCTAGGTTTCGTTTTTCACTCTATGGGCATGAAAAAATTTTTTCGAGCTACTCCATTGTATAAGTCTCTTAGCGTGTTTATTCAGCTTCAAAAATCGCTTTGGATGGCTCAATTACGACCATTTGTCTCCGAGATATCGAACTTTGAATGCAAAAGCATCCTTTTCCATTCAACTGCTAATATCTCTGGAACTACTGGTCGCACAGCAAGCGGGCGCCGAGTTTCTTTATCTGCATAAAATTTCCAATTAAGCACAGTCAAGAGTTAGTGAAAAAAAAATTTTTTTCCACCTCTAACATTGAATTTAAAAAAGTGGAAAAAAGTGACTTTTTCTCCTTTTTTGGTTACTTGGCTGTATCTTCGCTAATATGGGCGGGAAAGCTAAGGTTTGAGGAAAATTTTACAGTCTATTGTTCCTTAAAGAACCCCCTAAATCCCTGGAGCGATCGGTTCAACGGTTTTTCCCGAACCAATTGATTGAAATTTTGGAAAAAATAAGGGAACAAGGTTTTTGTCCCTTAAACTCACCCTAATCCATTCAAAAATCAATAATTTCATTTGTTTTTCACTTTTAACTCAATTTTTTGTTTTTTTAAAAATTCATTATCAAAAAAAAATCGAAAAAAATCAAGAAAATTTTATGCAGATAAAGAAACTCGGCGCCCGCTTGCTGTGCGACCAGTAGTTCCAGAGATATTAGCAGTTGAATGGAAAAGGATGCTTTTGCATTCAAAGTTCGATATCTCGGAGACAAATGGTCGTAATTGAGCCATCCAAAGCGATTTTTGAAGCTGAATAAACACGCTAAGAGACCTATACAATGGAGTAGCTCGAAAAAATTTTTCCATGCCCATAGAGTGAAAAACGAAACCTAGAAAATTTAGAAAAAAAATATTTTCAGCTTTGTTTAAGAATTGCATGGAAACCGGAGCTCAAAAAATTTTTTCACCAAAAAATCCGAAAACTAGAGTTTTCAAGCTTCAAAACCCTTTTTTTAAATTTCCTGTACGATTATTTTTCACTGAAATACAGCCTGTTGAAAATCACCCAAAAATTTCAAAAATTTTTATGTTCCCTTAATTTTTGCGAGGAGTGTAAATAGCTATAGATATGTAGCTACTTATCTGAAAAGATATAGATTGGTGCCATAGAAATTTTATTTAAAACGGTTGCAGTTTAGTTTTTAAATCAAAATAACGTAATGGTGTTCCGGCTTCGATTTCCGAGCGGGTCGAATTAGGACAATGAACTTTTCTGAATTAACTGGAATCTAGTATTCTTAGTTTTACCATAATTAATTCATTGGTTGCTCTTCATAACTCGGGTTGTCCTAGCTTGAAGATCAGTCAATTGGTATATTTTTTTTAATGGGTGAAAATAGTATGGTAACCAGTGACCAGAGGTCGACCTGGTTGGGTATATTGCTAGCAATGGGATTCTCAGTCTACATTACTAACATGAGCTAACTGGCCTGTTTTCATTCTCATCTATCACCCTTCACTGGTGCTCCGCCAGCGTATCCCGTTAGCGCAGGCGTGGTTACAATACCATTTTCACCCATCAAAAAAAACCGTTATCCTTACTAATATTATAAATGTGAAAGTGTGTTTGTTTGTTTGTTATCTATATGTGACATTTGGTATATACTTTTTTTTTTTTATTTTATTATCAATAAAAATACAAGTTACAGAAGTTACTATACGGGATGAAGAAGGGAAGAAGATACCCTACTTATATACACGTACCATATGTTTTTTTTTAATGAGTGATAATCGAATGGTAACCCCACCCGCGCTATCGGTATACACCGGCGGGGCACCAGTGAGGGATGATAGGTGAGGATGAAGCAGGGCAGTTAGCCCATCGTGACGAATTCAATGAGAATTGTTCACGATGGTATCTAGGGGGAACCACGTGAAGGTCGACCTAATAGGGTATATTGCTAGCAATGGTGCTGTCAAACTCCATTGCTAACAATCCCTTCCCATCTACCATATGCAACATTTTTATCACGGTTACGCGCACGGAATCGCGGCTAAAAATTTATATGTTCATAAACCTGGATAGAAAAAGCCTATAGTCTTATCTATCCCATATAGTATACCTATGTATACCAAATTTTATGATGGAAAGCCGTTAAAACGCCAAGAAGAAACAAACTCTATTTATTTATATTTATTTATTCTTTATTGCACAATAAAACTGTGTACAACTGGCGAGCTTAATGCCATATGGCATTCTCTATCAGCTAACCATTAGGTAAAAACAGAAAGCGTATGAAGGGCAGATGTGGTGAAAAATATGTGACATAATTATAGTAACATACTGAAATAATTATACATAATAAATGCACAAAACAACTATAAGCATTATGAGATATAGTAGCTATTGAGTAACCTGTAACTAGAACTGGTTTAGTTGACTCAACAAATAATTAGTCTTCTTTTATAAGAATGCTTACTAGGTGCTCTGCGTAGATCTACAGGGATCATATAATAGTATTAATAAGGTTTTTTTTTAATTCCAACTTCACGTCTATAGGTGGTGTGGGTGACTGCTCTCGCTCCTTACGTGGTACTGTTAATTCTGCTGGCTAGAGGGGTCACTCTACCAGGCGCAACCGAGGGCATCCGATATTATCTCACTCCAGAATGGCATAAGTTGTTGAACTCCAAGGTAAAGTATACTTGACTACTACAGAATCTATGTGTAGTTTTATATATATGTGATATTCATATGTGTATGATAATTGGAACGGCAAAGGGAGGGAGACTTTGTATAAAAGTCGATTGCTTGGCTACCTCTGTCCCATTCATGTTTCAACCGTGAAGCAGTTGTGTTTGCATGGCTGTGTTTCGGTTTGAAGGGTGGGATATGGCGTGAATTTACTGGATACAGAGGAATAACACCTGAGTCCTCAGGAATGGCAACTCATGGGGGGTATAATGGGCGAAACAGTATACTCTGTTATGTCCATGGTACTGCTCATGTCTATAGGCGACGGTTACCACTTTCCATCAGGTGGGCCGTCAGCTTGTTTGCCATTCTAAGTTGTATAAAAAAAATAAGCTGACGGTACACCTGTTGAAAAGTGGTAATATAAATAGCAGCATAGACATAGCAGAATACACTGGATATGGTACCCCTCATGCTTTACCATTCTTAAGGTCTATGATATTGTCTCTCCTTTCCATACCCTGTAACTTCACAGCTATATCCTGTCCGTCAAACTAAACACAGCCATGCAAGCACAACTGCTTCACAGTAAAAACATGGATGGAACAGAGGTGCCTGTACTTGACGAAGACCGTAACAAGTCTCCGTAAAGTATTTATTACACGACTGCTTAAAAAAGAAGGGCAATGTTTTCAGGTATGTGAGTATATATATGAGTTTTTATTCCTCGAATTTTTTTCTTTCTTCATCAGGTATGGATAGATGCGGCCTCGCAAATCTTCTTCTCCCTAGGTCCCGGGTTTGGTACCCTGTTAGCGTTGTCCAGTTACAACAAATTCAACAACAACTGCTACCGGGATGCCCTCATCACATCTTCCATCAACTGCCTCACGAGCTTCCTCGCAGGATTCGTCATATTCTCCGTCTTAGGGTAAGTAAATTATCATGTTGAACATATACCATATTCGTTATGCTCAAAAACTAAATATCAGAAAAAAAATTTGCTAATGATTTTAGTTTAATTCTAAAATTTTACCAGTTTTTTTAAATAAAGGTTTTGGTTTTCAATTCTTGATCAGGTACATGGCTCACGTGCAGAACAAGAGCATAGAGGAGGTGGGCCTCGAGGGTCCTGGGCTCGTGTTCATCGTGTACCCGGAGGCGATTGCGACGATGACGGGATCCGTGTTCTGGGCCATCATATTCTTCTTGATGCTCATCACGCTCGGCCTGGACAGCACTTTTGGAGGTACACTGCTTTTGGTATAGCATCCACTAGAGTCTCCATAAAAAACATCATCCTTGTGTTATAAACTCTATCAATGTTACAAAATCATTTCTCTTAACCGACTGTCAGCACACAACCAAAACTATTAAATCTAGAAAGCTGAAATTTGGGATATATGTATATTTTTAACGTTAATGTTACAACTCATTTAACCATAGGGAGACTTTGTACAAAAGTCGTTTGCTTGATCACCTCTGCCACATTCGTGTTTCTACCGTGTAGCAGTTCTCTTTGCATGACTGTGTTTCGGTTTGAAGGGTGGGATATGTCAGTGAATTTACAATAACACCTTAGTCCTCAGGTGGCACTCAGGAATGGCAACACATGGGCGGTATCATGGGTACATAAACCGTTAAGTTTTATGGTACTGCTCATGTCTATAGGCGACGGTTACCACTTTCCATCAGGTGGGCCGTCAGCTTGTTTGCCATTCTAAATTACGTAAAAAAAAGATTAGAAATTTTTATTTTAGAGATAGAGATAGGGAACGGTATTGTGAAGTGAAGTCCAATATCTAAAAGCAATACTCGTTCGTTCAGGACTAGAAGCGGTCACAACTGCGCTGTGCGACGAATACCCGAGGGTGCTGGGCCGACACAGGGAACTGTTCGTGGCGTTTCTGTGCCTCTTCATTTACATCTGCGCCCTGCCGACCACTACATACGTGAGTTATATAAATCTATTTCATTTCTCTTGCTTGTGTAAGATGAAAGATCCTCGATTACCCAAAGTCGTGAAGTTTAATTATCATTTACACCATTGCTGATATAAGTTTCACCCATAGATTGAGAGACAGCACATGGAGATCAAAATATCCCCGTATCACTCCAAATATCACTTTATGGTTATTCGACACTTTTTTTTTTAATTTAACACCTATACGTAACGGTTCCACGTTGGTAGGCCAGATAATCATCATCATCACATCTGCTGTTTATTATCCATTGCTGAACACAGCCTCTCCCATAAGTGGGGGTTCTGCCAATAATTGCCACGCTTGACAGGCGGGTTGGCAACAGCAGTTTGGCTTTTGGTGATATTTCAAGAGGGTGGCTGCTGCCCATCCTTCCAGAATAAGCTCCCTTAGTCGCCTCTTACGACACCCACGGGATAGGAAATGGTGACCCATTCTATACCGGGACCTATATGACAATCCTATCGATTACAGATGAATTATCAAAAAGTAATCTAAACATTTCCGTGTAGTCCCAGCAAAGAATAGGTCACCCCTTCCTTTCCAGTGGGTGTCGTAAGAGGCGACTAAGAGAGGGCGAGGGATAGGCAGCAGCGTCCCTCTTAAAACATATCCTAAGCCTAACTACGGTTTCCAATTCGCCTGCCAAGCGTGGCAACTACTGGCAGAACCTTCAAGGGAGAGGACAGATGAAAGCTGGCATGATGATGATGAATCTAATAAGATCAGTTAATTTAAAATGTCTTTCCATTGAAAGTCTCTTAAAAATCTCACGTAATCAACAGAAAACAATGGATCGTGTTTCGAGTCAAAGGGCGGGTAGTAGATAAATTACATGTATGTTATCTGTGGGGCTGAGCGGATGGATTCACTGCATAATTCATACACTAGGGGCCATGACTAGACCGTTGTGATAGTGCGAGATTCATTTACACTCATTTCATTCCCTTTGCCCCTTGTAAACACCGCGTGCGAATGGTTTGCCGATTGTGGAAACGAGGTTAATGGCTCGTGGAACTCTTAGCTTAGTTTTAGTTTTGTAATTGGATTTTAATGTATTTTTATTCCATTCTCCTTTAAAATAACATTTAAAGTGGATAAGAAATCCATAAAAACAACATATTAAGTACCTATTAATTCTATTATTTCTTCGATTTATTTTACACAAGTGTAAAGTGTATAAATACTTAAAAGATAAATTAAACTTTAAAAACTTCCGAAAGGAGTTTTTAAAGTACGTAATCTTTTAACACTAGATATAAATAAAAAACTTGCTATTCCGAAGTATCGTTTAGAAAAAGTTAATAGATCTTTTATGGGAATGAACATTCAATTTTATAATAAGATGCTTAAAATATAATAAGATATGAGCAATATTTTGGATCTAGCTTTTAATAAATTTGAAACTGTAATTAAAAAACACATTGAACAAAGTCTATTATTATAAACGTGCATGGTGTTAATCGATTATGCATGGGCTTTTTAACGACTATGTGATTTTAGTTATAGTACATTTAAATAAATATATATGAACCTATAATATATACATGTTAACAAAGATTTAAAAGAGTATTAGAGATTTGAGTTTCTTGCGGACTCTTTTCAACAGATAACAACTTAGAAACCCATAGATAACCCGTAGATTTAAAATCAGAAACAATGAAACGCCAAATGCTTCGATTAAAACAGACCTTTCGCTTCCTTCATATTCTTTCATCCACGCTTATACACGCTCACCGGTTACGGGTACTTTTAATTTGGTCCTACTTGAACAAGTCGCCTATTTAGCCGACATACGTCTGTTTAAGACAGTCTTTATTTATTTATTTATTTATTTAACACTTTATTGCACCAACATAACATGATTTGTTAAAACAATTTTCAATACGTATAGTGTAGTACAAAAGGCGGTCTTATTGCTAAGCAATCTCTTCCAGACAACCACTTTACCCACATTTCCATTCTTATTCAATAAATCTCTTTCGTAAATCTTCTTTCATCCATCCTCTCCAAATGGCCAAACTAATGCAACATTCCCTTTCTGATTTTTGTCACTACATCGTCTTTCAGCCTATACTTCTCTCTAATCACACTATTTTGCACTATTGCATTTGATTCGTTAAAAAATAATCATAATTACAAGTCAATATTAATTATGTCACCATTGTAATCGCTATTTCTGCAGAGCAAAATCAACTTTTGAATATATTCGTAGTAGAAAAATTGCAAAAAAAATTGATGTTTTTCACGCGATGCTCCAGATTAATGTTAACCAAATTAATGCCATTTTATTACGTGTAGAAATTGAAGACAAATCTAAGCGATACAAAGTACTTTCACGGATTAGGCAAATCGAAATCATAGACGCAAACATTTTCTACACAAGAAAGGGATCTTTAGTAAAGCTGACCGGGGCAAAGGGTCACGCTCCATTATCGCAAATCAACATATAAATTGGAGAGACCTTTCAGGCATTACTGTATATATGATAATTAACAATGCGGTTAACAGGAATGCCATTTCCATTAATTTAATGCTCATCTTGTGAGACCCTAGACCTGACCAGGTTTCACTTCATTCAATGATTTCATATTGGTGGTCGTTCTAGGGATTATATAGTATTGAAGAAGCTGGCTTTAAATAAATAGAGTGATATTAAGGTAATGATGATTAATATTAGGCAGGTAACAGTTCTTCTAACGCCTATTCTTCCACCGTGCGTTTTCAAGGCACTTTCTTCCACGCACAACCATTCTTTGGAATCAACTTCCAGCAGCAGTATTTCCAAAGCGATACGACAACATAACCTTCAAGAAAAGGGTATATTCCTTTTTAAAAGGCCGGCAGCACACCTGCAATGCCGCTGGTGTTGTGGGTGATCATGGGCGGCAGTAGTCACTTACCATCAGATGAGCCACATGCCCGTTTGCCCCCTGTGTTGTAAAAAAAAAGAGAGTGCTCAGAAGAACTTCATCTCATTTTCCATCTTCCCTATCCCGATATCGCACCACGAGGATGGACCAGCGACTATATTCACACACAGTAGATCGCCTGCGATCACCTATAAATAAGTTTGTAAACTCTTACTTGAACCGTAACATAATAATATGGAATGGACTTTCCCGTGTTTCTTTCATTCTATATCATCAGGGTCTTCAAACGTAGCGTGAAAAAGCACTTAGTAAGCTGGCATAGTATGACCATCCATGAAGGGGAGGAAAGAGATTGTTAGCAATGTAGTTTGACAGCCCCCTTGCTAGCAATATGCCCTATTAGGTCGATCTCCACGTAGTTCCCCCTGGAAACCATCGTGAACAATTCTTGTTGAATTCATCACGATGGGTTAATTGACCTGCTTATTCCTCACCTATCATCCCTCACTGGTGCCCCGCCGGTGTATACCGATAGCACGGGTGGGGTTACCATTCCATTATCACCCATTAAAAAAAACCATGCATGAAGAGATGTTAAGGGAGGGATTGGTTGAAAGCCAGCGCTGTGCAGCTGTTCACATTGCACTGGGACACTCGCAGCATCAACTGAGCCAGTTCCTTTTGCCTCATATGAGACACTTCTAATACATATATGTAATATTTTTGTATTTTCTGTTGTATTTGTGTTTTCTGGCAATAAATATTTTTTTAATCTATTATACAACATTCTCCTTTTGCTTGATCACATTCATGGATCATGTTGTCTGTGTGTTCGCTCACTCAGGATGGAGTAGTCACGTGTCGTGCCAAAAAAATTATGGAGAGTCCATTTATATTACCTATTTCTTTAATGCAGTTTGAAATGGCAAACAATCTGACTGCCCACCACATCACATAAACAGCAACGTGGATATTACTGAATGCACGTGATGCTCATGATAGAACTCATGCTGTGCTATGACAACATTTAGGTTGCTAAGAATCCCATTGCTAGCAATATACCCAACCAGGTCGACCTCTTGGCGGTTCTCCCTGGAAACTATCATGGTTAATTCCTGATTAATGCATCATGATGGGCTAACTGACCTGTTTTCCATTCTCGTCTATCACCCTTCACTGGTGCTCCGCCAGCGTATCCCTTTAGCGCAGGCGGGGTTACCATACCATTTTCACCCATAAAATGTTTAGGTTGTATAGTCCTCAGGCATACCTAAGTAGATATAAGTAGAAGGTGCGGATTCAAATCCTCTGAAACTTTGAAAATTTTCAATTACACAATAATTATTGGAATATATATGACTTTCATATTTTAATGATTTTTTCTAAGATTCTTTTGATATGTTTCAATCAGGGTGGAGTATACCTGGTGGACCTACTGAACGTGTACGGACCGGGGCTGGCGATCCTGTTCGTGGTGTTCGCGGAGGCAGCCGGCGTGTGCTGGGTGTACGGCGTCGACCGGTTCTCGGAGGATGTGCGCAGCATGCTCGGACACACTCCCGGCTGGTTCTGGAGGGCGTGCTGGTCTTATATTAGGTGAATATACTGTAATCTTAGTCGCAGCTTCAAATTATAAAATTCTATTCCGGAATAATAATAAGTCTCCTGACAAGGGAATGGCGCTTCCTACGCTACCTGTTTACTCTAACGAAGTACCAGTGAGAGATGATAGGTGAGGATGACGACAGATCTGTTGGGCCATCTCAGAATTTACTATAATACTATGATTTTAAGGCTTTTATAGCTTAAAAGTCAATTTGATAATGTACACGAGCACGTATTTTCTTCTTCCTACTATCCTGAAGAAGGTCTGATAAAAAAAAAACGAGTCAGCTAATTTAACAATTAGCTGACAAAAAGTTGACCCGTTTTTGAGGCTCGATGCTCTAAGATAATTATCTAAGATGAACCTATACGAGTCTATAGCTTATGCTCTTTATTACTCCCAGGGTAATGGCATAATGAAGTCGACTCTAAGCTTGTATTACACTTCTCCACAGCCCTGTGTTTCTGCTGGTACTGTTCGTGTTCTCGGTTCTGGCGCACGAGGAGATGCTCGGCGGGGAGTACACATACCCATCCTGGTCGATCACCGTCGGCTGGGTGATGACCGGCACCACCGTCTCCTGCATACCCCTCTACATCTTGTATAAGCTATTAATCACGCCTGGTAGCTTGAAAAACGTAAGTATGGCTTTAAAGAACATCTTAAGTTTTATCGTCATTATATTACGGAATTAAGGAAGTGATGGCCCATTCTATGGCAGGATAACATGGCAGTACATGAAATGTAGCAGTAAAATCACAGGGTACGGAAGTATAACGTCTTAGTTCTCAGGAATGGCAACGCATGCGGAGTACCATGAGCATCCCCTTCATTTCCCGTGGGTGTCGTAAGAGGCGACTAAGGGAGGGCGAAGGATGGACAGCAGCATCCCTCTTAAAACATCTCCAAAGCCTAACTGCGGTTGCTAACCCACCTGTCAAGCATGGTAACTACTGAAAAAACCTTCCCAAGGAGGAGGCTTATGCTCAGCGGTGAACAATTAAAGGCCGATATGATGACGATGATGAATCTGTAGTTCTATCACCACATTCCATCAGACGAGCCGTCAGTTTATCTATCTTTCTAAATATTATAAAAAAAGACCCTAGTATCACTGCAATCTCACATCATATCTTGTGACTTAATTTATTTGCTATTCACTTGACTTGTTCGTATCGTATGTAGGAAATATCGACTGGCAGCTCATTCCATAACCACAGCGTTCAGTGAATGGGAAAATTAGCAACTTTCTCATAAACATTGTAAACTATACTTTTACGTTCACGCTAGGGATGTTAGACTAATATTTTTTTAACCTAAGTACATGGAATCATCACCATCACCATCATATTAGCCGATATCTATATATCATAGGCTTCCCCCATAGATTTGAGGATTTTGCCAATAGTTGCCACGCTTGACAACCGTGCTTGGCTAGTCTAAACCTGTCTCGTGGAAGATACAGAAGTATATAACGAGTATATAGGTACAGAAAAGTATCTGCTCACCCCACAGTTGAGTCATAGAGAACGTCTTTAGGTGATATATCTGTTATATGAAACTCCGCTATTTATTTATTTATTAAATACAAGAAATTTACAATATGAGTACACTGGACCCCGCACTAGGCGAACCTGTATCGCGGGAGTCCATAACCTGACCGATACGGGCGTGAGTTGTAACTTTACAAAATTCTAAAACCGCGCGCAATTCATTTTAACGTAGGAAGGTGAAATAACATAATAGTGAGATTCTAAACCAGCCAATAAGAAATCATTTTAGCGGTTAGGTGGTGCAGTAGTCTCGTGCGTGCCAGCAAGACGGCTTGGCACCAAAACACGAAAATATATTTAATCTGAAAGAAAAAAATCTTGGGTCTGAAAGGGATAAGAGACTACCATGACACGGTGATTTATAAATTAAATTAGTGAGCCAATTTTACAGAAACAACAAGTTAGAATGGCATCGTTCACTGATATAAAATATATAAGTAATTGTTGGTAATTATAATAAGTTTACCACTGTAATCTTTTAAAGGGAAAAATAATGAGTATCTATCTCTCTATCTATAGCGGGATACTAAAAATAGGGCTGGATAATGTATATCAATATATTGCAGTTACAATACCGAAGGGAGACTTTGTACAAAAGCCGATTGCTTGGGTACCTCTGTCCCATTCGTGTTTCAACCATGTAGCAGTTATGTTCGCATGGCTGTGTTTCGGTTTGAAGGGTGGGATATGGCGTGAATTTACTGGGTACAGAGGAATAACACCTGAGTCCTCAGGAATGGCAACGCATGGGGGTATCATGGGCAAAACAGTATACTCTGTTATGTCCATGGTACTGCTCATGTCTATAGGCGACGGTTACCACTTCACATCAGGTGGGCCGTCAGCTTGTTTGCCATTCTAAGTCGTATAAAAAAAAAAAAACAATACCTATATATTGACTTCGTAACGGATATATTAAATATCGGTTGTCCAATATATAATATCGAAATGAAGCGTCCGATCTGAATGAATACAGATATCCAACTGGTATGAACGATATAGAAATAGGTAATGACCTTTTATCCTATAGGAACCCAATATATCGATATCATAGCGGTATTTATTTTACCGATACCTAAATAAAAATATCTCCACATTCTCAACAGCGAATAAGAACAATCACACAACCCGAGGAGACCACGATACCGCCGGTCGACCCGTCTCTTTGCAACCTGTGACCTGATACGTGCACTGCTCCCACGCTAACCCAGCCACCTACTGTCGAGTGGTTGGTGTGAAAAATTATATATTATATACACATATTATATAGGTGAGCAATATTTGTCGATATTATCGCAATATCGATTTCAAGAATTTTATAATCACAATTTAAATGTAAAATATAATATCGTCATTGAAGAATATCGATAATTTTATTACGATAATATCGAATTATCGATAATATACTTACGATAATATCAAATTATCGATAATATTGAACGATAATATTGATTTATCGCTAATATTATCACAATAATATCTCATTATCGATAATATTGTTAAGATAATATCAAAATATTGATAATATTGTCAAGATAATATCGAATTATCGATAATATTGACACGATAATATCGAATTATCGATAATGTACTTACAATAATATCGAATTATCGATAATATTGTTCCGATAATATCGGATAATATCGATATTGAGCTAACGATATTTTTATCGTCATTTTGACAATATCACTTATTATTTTCATATATATTTGATGAATATTATAACTTTTATTATATAATGATATTAATTATTTCACGCTGCTTTAATAAATCAATGTAATTTTTTATTTTCTTATTGAATATTAAAATAAAATTAAATATAACAAATTTATATATTGTGCTGTATTCGACTAATTTTGAACTCTTTGCATTTGAAGTAGGCAAAAGTAACTGTTTATATATAATGAATAATACTTATATATTATATTAATATGCATTTAAAAATAATCTTAGAGGTTTCATAGCTGTTGTAATGTAAAACATATATGTACCTATAGTGTTAACAATATTTCGTAAAGGAATAACTTATCATTGTTATAATTTTGCCAATATTAGAATTAGAAATAAAACTAATAATATTTAGATCGTAAAATAACTGTTAACTATATATGTAGTCGGTATTATTATTATTATATACAACGAAAGTACTATCAGTAGATAATTTATATATTAAAATATATAAAAAGTAGTTTCGAAATATGTAATTGTGTACATATAACAATAATGCTGGTCGGACTATAAAAAAAATATACATGTGGCGGATTGTTCCTTTTATTAAACAAATTTAATTCATTTCAATGTTGAAGCAAAGCAAACCCCACGTATGTGTAAGCTTAATAAAAAAAATAAAAAAAAAAACATTTCTGTATTCTCGGGCAATGAATACAGAAATGTAATAGCTTAATACTATGTAAATATATATTCATCGGTGTTAATATAAAATAATATATAAACATATATAATATCTTATCGATGCATATTTTCGGGATCACATACATAGGTTTCAAGTCTAGTCAACGTCTAGTCGTGTGCATTATCTGTAATGTACATACCTTATAGGAATAATTACAAATAGTTAAGTAATATATTTAACGTAATATTTAAAATGGAGCTTCGTAGATATATTTTGTTTAATATGAAACGAATGATCAATACATGCGAAAATAACAAACCATTCGTATGAACATCCAAAAATACTGAAACCAACATTTTCTGGTATATCTACAGAATGGATGTAATTGTGAAATTTCCTAGTGGTTGATAGTAAACGTTTCAACGTGTATTTTACGATTTTGTTAATTCGATATCGTTATATTGATGTTGCTTACTTAATCACAAAAAAAAACCTTATTTCACATAATATTAGAGTACTAATTAATGTAAAATTTTATAGGCGAGTATATAAATTACAAATGCATACATTACTAGAAATATATAACCTATATGTGGCTGTTATTTGTATTGATATAGTAATTGAATATATAATGTTTAAATAGTAAAATGTACTTCCAAACACGTAGTATATTGTATGTCACTGTAGGTACTAACACGTCTCTGACAGGCTAATCATCTAGCTTAAGTACGAATAACTATTTTGTGAGCGATGATAACTATTTTCTTCAACAGTGATAAATTCTCATTTCCATCATTATTTAAGTAATGTAATACATGTATTAAGACTATAAAGTATTAAATTAAAGGTTTCATCTGAAGTTACTACGTTAAAATGGCAAAAAATAAAATCGGTCTGGCCACAATGTTAAAATCACGATGAACTAGTTCTGAAGAAATGTTTAGAAAAAGTCTACAAACAATATTTAACGCATGCATTTTATAATATGCAGTTTATATATATTTAAATTCAATTCTAAAGCTTTGTTTTAAGATCGAATAGTTTTTTTTGTGACAATTTGAACCCAGTTTTTCTTCATTTTATTACTGCGTAGAGCAAAATTTTTAATTCATGATATTTAAAGTGTCTCTATTAAAATTAAATAAAATCGTAGTACTTCAATACTATTTTCACTGACGACAAATATGTTTTGTTTAATTAAAATCTATAATGGAGTAGGATGTCTCAGGAAACTTTCTATTCAGCTAAATGCATTCAAAATAATCATATATCTAGCATTTTAGATTGTGTATTAGACTAAGTGTTTTTATAAAAAAAAATAAAAAGTTTTAAAACCATAGTTCATATACCCACAAAGTTATATTAAATATTATAAATTTACTTTTTGAATTTTTTAACAATTATTTTTAGATGTCATTTTATTTTTAAATACATATTTGTCATTTTTAAATGTTAATGGGTAAGTAGTGAAGTAAATGTCGTTGCTGTGTATGAATAGAATATGTATTGGACATCATAGTGTGTGTTTAAAAAAAATAAACGGCAAATGTGTAGACACGGCCTGTGGCAGCCATTACAGGTCGCTCTATCCATTTGTTTCACAATTATATTGTTTTTATTTCTATAACACTAGTTGATGCCCGCGACTTTGTCCACGTGGTATTTGTTATTCCTGTTTAGTATGTATCGATGTATGCACCTACCTATTTATTATATCTGCACCAAAATTAACAAACGACGTGTCGTTCTCACTCTTTGCCTTAGGTCAAAATGACTTTACTTAAATAGGTTGTGTGCTAAGCTGTATAAGTTACTATAGCTTTTTTACTATCTTACGGGAACTCTTTATTTCCAAATGATGAGGTACCACCATGCTAAATTTCATTTACATCGGTCCAACAGTTTCGCAGATTAGCCCGTACAAAAACACAAACAGATAGAGAAACAAAAAATCTGAATCTGTTCTATTTCACTTCTAATATACCCCTGACTCGGTTTTTAGCGTTTTTTTTTTTTCTATTTACAGATATTCGACCTCTACAGTTTTGTTATATGTATAGACAGACGAATACCCGATGTCTAAATGACAGGTGTATGTTGCTCCGCAAGAAGACTTCAATCACGAACGCACTGAAATACATCTTTAATTATCTAAGGGCTTTTTTTAATAGATGAGAATAGTATGATACCCCCGCCTGCTCTATCGTTATACGCTGGCGGGGCACCAGTAATAGATGACAGATGAGGATGAAAGCAGGTCAGTTAGCCCATCGTGATGAATTCTACAAGAATTGAACACGATGGTTTCGAGGGGGAACCGCGTGGAGGTCGACCTGATAGAGTATATTGCTAGCAGTGAGGCTGTGCTCTTTCCCTAATAAGATCGATGAGATCAACTCCCTCGCAATCCCCACGTGGTTATTTTCTGACCAATTCACTATGATGGGGCTACTTTCTCATCTACATCATATATTAACATATAATATAATTTTACCTTTTGCTATTAAATTGGTTACACAGGTTACACTCTGGGTTTGTTACACGCGTCCGTGTAGCCTAACTTCAGGTTGCAGCTGAAAATCAGTGCTTTGCTTTTAAGCAAAAGTATCACTGAGCTGTAGCCTTTTTGGGTCACTGCGACACACTTGGTGAAAACATATCTCCAATATTCATCTTTTGTTTTATATTTGAAAAAATGTAAATAATCAGATTGTATAAATTTATTTGTTAATTTACGTGTGTCATAAATGGCTCAAATAAAGTGTTTATCTATCTATCTATCTATATCTCTCTCAAACTTACACTTCACTGATGCCCTGTTATTATATACCATTAAGATAGGTGAATGCACCATAGAATAAATACTTAATATTATAATCCATAGTGCTCTTGCTGACTTCGAGAGTCCCATAAAAGGGAATTTGATTATTGAGAGTCCCATAAGAGCCCTTCTTACTAGTCATGGGTAATACCGAGGAGAGGGCTTGTTAGCCATGGAGTTTGACAGACCCATTGCTAGCAATATACCCTGTCAGGTCGACCTCCACGCGGTTCCCCCTGGAAACCCTCGTGAACAATTCTTGTTGAATTCGTCACGATAGGCTAACTGACCTACTTCATCCTCACCTATCATCTCTCACTGGTGTCCCGCCGGTGTATACCGATAGCACGGATAGAGTTACTATTCTATTATCACCCATTAAAAAAAAGTATGGATACCAATCCGATCTCTATATATTGGGTTTCTCAAGACATTGATGTCAGAAAAAAGGTGATCACCTATTTCAATATCGATCGGATATCTATTTTTGAGAGAGACTTTGTACAAAAGTCGATTGCTTGGGTACCTCTGTCCCACTCGTGTTTCAACCGTGAAGCAGTTGTGTTGGCATGGCTGTGTTTCGGTTTGAAGGGTGGGATATGGCGCGAATTTACTGGGTACAGAGGAATAACACCTGAGTCCTCAGGAATGGCAACGCATGGGGAGTATCATTGGCGAAACAGTATACTCTGTTATGTCCATGGTACTGCCCACCTGATGGAAAATGGTAACCGTCGCCTATAGACATAGGCGACGGTTACCACTTTTCATCAGGTGGGCCGTCAGCTTGTTTGCCATTCTAAGTTGTATAAAAAAAAAAAAAGAATATGTTAAAAGCCTATTATTCAATATTATTTTTTGGATAACAGACTTAACATATTCGTAATTATACCAGTATATAGATATTGTAACTATAGGAGTTTTTTCATGATTTTCTTCCCTTTTCATTGGTATTTATGCACAAGTGAGATACGGATGAATTGAAAATCTCCATCTTTTAAAAAGGAAGCTCCATCTAAATAAAAAGTACCTAATACTCGCCTCTATGCCGCCAATGCGCTGTCATCTGTCATTTTATTGAATACCTATACAAAATATCCAAGAAATCTTAGCAAAAAAAATTTACAACGCAAAATTTGGAGTGTAAGCTAATGGAATCGCCAAGTGAAAATGTTAATACCAAAGAGGGGTGGTAGCATGTTCCTTTTACGACGTATGTATGGCGGGCAAGACTGTAAGCTTCAATACAAGTTGTGTGAGTCCTGCGTTTCATTTTTTTGTAAAGGTAGCACTTAAATATGTCTAATCTACCATTGTTGTGTGGTACCAGTATAGAATGAGCCACCCCTTTTTTCCCGTGGGAGTCGTAAGAGGGGACTAAGAGAACTTAACAGTCGAGAGATGGGCAACAGCGTTTAAACATCACCGAAAGCTTAACTTTGGTGGCCAAGGCCAAGAGTGGCAACTACTGGTAATCCACCCCCCCCCCCCCCTCTTATTCCGAGGCTGATGTTCAGCAGTGAACAGTTTATACGATGATGATTCTACTAACTGACCACGCAGATCTTATCTCGGATTAATCAGACTGAGACTCCGTACAAAAGTCGTTTGCATGTACATTCCTCTCCATCAGGCATATCCTCTGCCCATCTGTGTTTTTGCCATGAAGCGGCTATCCTTTTATGCCTATGTTTCCATTTTAAGGGTGGGATATGATAGTGACGTTATAAGATACGAAAGTATATCCATAACCTCAAAATAGTAATTATGGACATGACAGAATATCCTGTGAAGTTCATGACGTACATGTCAAAGTTGTCGGTCAACTTCGACTTATTTGGCATTGAAAGTCATATTTACTTTAGAATTACACTGACATATGGTTGGTAATTCATGGCCAACGAGATTAATCTGTTGACATATGCATGATCTATAAAATTATGCCATTAACAATAATTCCTATAATATAATTTTCATGGTGTTTGTCCCCAAATTTATCAAGTAACATAAATATATTAGAGTCTATATAGATAGACAAACCAATGGACAATTGCAAATCTTTGCAGACATATTAAGGAAGTAAATCATGCAAGAATTTGTTAAGTACCTAACTTGTATTATATTCAAAACTTGTTATTTATATTCGAAGGGTCCCCTATTCAACCGAATGACATAATAATACGGCCGAAAATTTCTAAGCTAACACTAATATAGATGCATTTTGTTTTATACAACTTAGAATGGCAAACAAGCTGACGGCCCACCTGATGGAAAGTGGTAACCGTCGCCTATAGACATGAGCAGTACCATGGACATAACTGAGTATACTGTTTCGCCCATAATAACCCCCCATGTGTTGCCATTCCTGAGGACTCAGGTTTTATTCCTCTGTACCCTGTAAATTCACGTCATATCCCACCCTTTAAACCGAAACACAGCCATGCAAACGCAACTGCTTCACGGTAAAAACACGAATGGGACAGAGGTACCCAAGCAATCGACTTTTGTACAAAGTCTCCCTCTGGTAAGATGCATATTGGTTCGTAGGTTACTTTCTGAACTAATTAGGAAACCCATTGTTACTTTTAGGAAAATACCTAATAAATGTCATTTTAACAATGAAACTGCTTCGTACGTACGTACTTAAGACATTTATATCTTCTCAAAAAGAGGATATACTTACTTATTACCTCGCGTACTCAAGTACTCAAGTACTCGAGTACTTAATACAGAATACAGGATTCGAGTACCCGCGATACTCGAACACTAGTCTATTGTAATATTTCGTTATCGTTCCATAGACTTTATAACTTTTTTAGTTAATTATCAAGAGCAAAATTATTAAATAAGTGTTAAATTCATTATATAAGTAATTATAATGTATAATTTATTCTTACAAACATAATCAAGAAAATACTCGAATCTGATGAAGTATAAAAGTACTCGAACGCTTGTTCGAGTCTTTAGACTCGAGTCAGGATGCGATCACTTTTTTAATGAATACCAAAATACTCGAATACAAAAAAAAATGCTTCCTCAGCACATAACTAGACCTCTCATGTTTCTAACGGGCAACGTAGCCGCTTCCCGTTAGATGGACCGTCAGATCGTTTGCCTTTCTAACAGTAAGAGAAAACAGGATTAATCTCTTCAGAACCTGTACGACTCTAACTTGGAGGCACTCGCTAAATGGTTGAGCTGCAACGGCGAGGTATGGGGCGTGGGTCCGACGGCGGTGTTCGCCAGCGCCGCCGCTCTTTTCCTCTACAACGAGCTGGAGGGTGCCATCTTCGTGACCGGGGACCACGCTCCGGTGTCGCTTTTGGAGAAAACTCTCCTTGTAAGACACTTGGATTACCTATTGTTTAATTTATTTTTGCCATAGTCCGCTCGCATAGTTTTCAAACAAACTACTGTGTTGCGTGAACTATTTCAATGAACTTAGACACTATACAATGTAGCTCAAAACCATCAAATCCCAAGCATGACCATCAACACGTAAGTTGTTAATGTTTCAATTATGATCTACGGGTAATTACAAAAGTGAACTACGACAGACTTTTACTAGCTCTTCAATTCTTGATATCAAGAAATTTACAAGCTGACGACCAGTTTGACGAAGTAAGAAGTCTGCTCTAAACAGATTTGGAAAATTTTTCTTTTATCCGAAATGATTTCTTGATCACTTGCAGCTTGATCCCATAAAAAATGTATAAAAATCGCTTCAATAGTTTAGTTTTTGGATCAAAATAACTGATTTTGTCACAATTTAAGTCAGTTATTGTTTTGTGGGAAACAATTTTTAAACTGATCCGTTCCATTAAAAGTATTCATTCTCGAAAAACTGGGTCTTTTGAAATTCTAACTATTAAAACCGACTTATTTATGCATTATCAAATACGTATAATTTTGTATATTGTAAATTATAAAAACCTTTCCTTCCCATCATAATTACGACAACTTTATCAGAAGGAGACTTTGTACAAAAGTTGTTTGCTTGGGTCCCATTCGTGTTTCAACCGTAAAGCAGTTGTGTTTGCATGGCTGTGTTTCGGTTTGAAGAGTGGGATATGGCGTGAATTTACTGGGTACAGAGGAATAACACCTGAGTCCTCAGGAAAGGCAACGCATGGGGGGTATCATGGGCGAAACAGTATACTCTATTATGTCCATGGTACTGCTCATGTCTATAGGCGACGGTTACCACTTTCCATCAGGTGGGCCGTCAGCTTGTTTGCCATTCTAAGTTGTATAAAAAAACTTACCAACAGTCCACCATGGTGCTGGGAATGTTGGCGCTGATGATACATCTGTGGGTGTGTTCCATGCGTTTCTTCCAGTACTACCTGGATACACTCATTAAAGATGTAAGTGCCTATCTTATTGTGTATACTAATATATTAAAATTGTAACTAAACATCAAGAAAATTGACATAAAGGGTTCTTCATAAGAACTATTGTTCTTGAAGATTGAGGCCAAAACAATCATTTTTTAAATCTTTAGCTATCTATCTATTTGTATATTTATTTCGGTGTCACACACAATCTCCTGTACTATATTTATTTGCATTTTTAACCAACTTCCAAAAGATTCTCATTCGATTGTATTTTTATGTTTGTTGCTCATAACTCAGTCAGTCAAAACTGATTTGAAGAATTCTTTATTATACGGTTTTATTCCTATATCCCTTCCCCTATCTAGAAATTAAGGTACTTAATGTTATAGACTATTTTATAATTTGTAACATTTGTCGTAGAGTTCAAATATGCTTCTTGAGATGACAACAGTCGGGTTATTGGGGGCTCAAAGCGAAATAGTGCCCCTTGGCCCCCTCACACGGTTCCTCCGGCAACAGCAGCCCCAGATACACATCACCGTGTGCTGGTTCCTATCTCTGTGCTATGCTGACTACATCAGAAAACACTACTGTCAGAGATTCAACATTCCATATTTGGAACAGTGGTTAGTACACTATCATTATTCTTTAAACTAAATCCTTAGGAGGAAAGGGATTGTTAATAATGTATTTATCAAATGAAAAAGCTGGTCAGTTAGCCAACTGACCTGCTTTTTCATTCTCACCTATCATCCCTCACTGGTACTCCGTCAGCGTATACCGTTAGCGCAAAGGGATTACCATTCCATTATCATCCATTACAAAAAAAATACTAAATACTTAGTGACAGAAGGATTGTTACTAATAGGGCATGATGGGCCTTGGAATTGGAATGGAACTGATCTGCCTTTTCATCCTTACTGGTGCCCCGCCAACGTATTCCAATAGCGCAGGCAGAATTACAATTCCATTATCACCCGTAAAAAAAACTTATAGGGCATGATAGGCCCATTGTTAGAAAATGGGCAAATTATTAATGATAGGATCTAGCACCCTCATAGCTTTCAAACACACATTTCGCCACGTTGAACCAACAGACCTAACTTAATTCATTCACCAGAGGAAGACTGTGCAAAAGTCGTCGACTTAGATATGTCTATCCCATCCAAGTTTCTGTCATGAAGTAGCTATGTAGTGAAATCACACGATCATCATCAGCATCATACAGCCGTTAGCTATTCACTGCTGAAGATAGTCCTCCCCTTATTAGGGGATCTGCCAGTAATTACCATGCTTGGCGAGCGGAGTGGCAACCGCAATTAAGTTTTAGTAAAGAGAGATGCTGCTGTCCATACCTCTAACTTGAAGTTCCCTTAGTCGCCTCTTACGACACCCACGGAAAAGGAAGGGTGGCTTATTCTATTCGAAACCACACGGCGCAAATTACAGGATACAGAGGAACATCATAGTCCTCGGAAATGGTAATGCATGATAAATAAAATAGATACCATATTAGTATAATATTCTGTAATATCCACGTATCGGACGTAAATGCGAAAATAAGTTTGTTTGTTACGCTTTCACGTCTAAACCGCTGACCCAATTATGAATTTTGGTATACAGAATAGAGATAGGAACCCTGAAGACGTTATAAGCTACTTTTTCTCCCGGCCAGTGGAAATATCTCGGTCAATGTTGGACAAAGTCGCCAACGATGACAACGGCCTCCTCTATCGTCTAACATCTCTTCTCATCTCTAAATATCAACCGGTGGATCTATCATTCTATTTTTATTATTCACAAACTATAAACGGTGGTGAATATGTAATGTTTTGTGCTCGTTGGTGGCGGCAGGCAGGCAGAACTACACGAGCGAGCGTCGTGTGGCTTCCACCGCACCATGGAGAAGATCAACAGCTTCGTCGGCTCCGTCCACCGGCGGATGCGCGGGTACTCCCAACCGCAGCCGAACAGTGACGCTTACACGTAAAGATCATACTCTCATCTCAGTTTTAAAAGTTTATACATAGCTTTGGAGATTGGATGTTTGTTACTTAATTAGAATGAAAGACTATCCAAATAATGGGCAATATATATACAGTTGTCCGTGAACAAAATTTTCCTTTAGTCTAGCATTTGCACAACACAGACACATTTTGAGATGAAATTTAAAAAGTTTTATTATAACCGAACCCCAAAGAATGTAGTTAAGAGACATTCTTTGAGATCTTTAATGTGAGCAAACGAAACTTGAAGAAATTTTAGAGACACAAAGAGAGATCTTCTAGAGTCCTAGATATATAAGTATGTAGAATATTTTTAATCTATTTCACATGGGCCGTGTCACGATTAAAAGCTAATAATATTATTAATGTAAAAGGCTATTGCCGGAATTTATTGTTGGTTACTTTTTGCCACCCAACACTAAAACTGAATTTCATAACGCAACTCTGTGTCAAGTCTTCGGTAAACATAAGAGGGAATTTTGTAACTATCTCTCTCTCTCTCTCTTTATCTCTCTCGTGCAGCAGTCAGAAACTTAGGCGTAATGTTGTAAACTAGAGTGAGAGCGCATCGTCTAAGAATGCGACATCGGTGGATGTCAGCGGGGCCGCAAGCAAGGTGTCAAGGGGAAATGCCGTGTGCACCGCCAGCGACTCAGTGCTTAGCAGGAGACAAGACGCAGGGGTCTGCGTGCGACTCGTCAGTCAGTCAAGCGAAACAACGGTTGATGCAATTGAGAAGCTCAAAGCCTATATCACCGTGAGGACAGCTTTTACATTTCCTGATGACATAAATTCTATATTTCTTAGAAACTTTATTATTATTATTACAGCCGTTAACTGTCCACTGCTGGGCCAAAAGGACCTTTCCTCATAAGGGAAGTTCTGCCAGTAGTTGCCAAGCTTGGCAGGCGTATTGGCAACCGCAGTTAGGCTTTTAGAGATGTTTTAAGAGGGACGCAGCTGCCCGTCCCTCGCCTTTCCTTAGTCGCCTCTTACGACACCCACGGGAAAGGGGTGACTCATTATATGCCGGAGCACACACGGCGAAACTTAAATGCTAAAAACTTAGTACATTATATTTATGCAGTTTGGAATGGCAATCAATTGGTCACCTGATCGAAAGTGATCACGTGATGGAAAGTGATAACCATCGCTTATAGACATGACAAATAAGATAAACACCGCAGAATACAATGTTGACCCCCATGTTATCTAGTAATTTTTCAAACCAAAACATATTAAAACTTTTCGGATGACCTTCTCTAATAGATGCCTACAATAAGAATAGAATATTGAAAACTTATCTGCCAAAAGCTAGCTAGCGGATTCTTTCGTAAATTTAGAATTCCACAAATGCGCATCTATGTAGTAAAGCTGTAGGCAGACTGGTAAGGACATTGGCTCCGGCATGACGTCTACCATCTAGGTACAATTTCAAGTTCGCCAACTCGGAAATTTTCAATCTTTCAAAAATTAACATTATTGGAATATTATTATCTAGATAATAATAATTATAAACTTGAAAAAAAAATTACAGGCAACAAGGTGCGAGTGTTGCGGTACACAGGACCCCGGCGTCTGTAGTTCTAGCAGTGCAACACCTAAGGAGACTAACAAGCCTTGAAGACTTGCCGTGGAGAAATATGGCTGTACTGTAATTTGATTGATAATGCATTTACGATTCGTTATTAAAATATCTTGAGGATATTGTGTTTTATTTATTCAAATATATTGCTATCACCCTATTACTACCAAGTCTAAGCCGTGTGGTCCCAGCATAAAATAGGCCAACCCTTCCTTTCCTGTGGGTGTCGTAAGAGACGACTAAGGGAACTTAATGGTCTAGAAATGGGTAACAACATCCCTCTTTGAAAATCACGTAAGCCTAAAGTGGCAAATCCGACTGACAAGCGCGGTAACCACTGGCAAACTTACATTTTGGAATGCAATAAGAAATAAATAAATAAATAAACCCTCTAAGGAAAAGGCTTATGATTAGCAGTGAACAGTCAAAGATCGATATAATGATGGTACCAAGTCTAGAGACCAGACCAGACCAAACAGGCAAACAAATCTTTCAATAAAGCCGTTTTCATTTTTGGGTGCAAGAGATTAAAACAAGACGTTTGATATTGTTGTTTTGTTTTATAACTTTGTTGGCTGCAGATTCGTCAGCCTACAGAGAAGAGAAGAGTAACAGAAAATCGAGTTAATCATACTAATGAATTACGGTGTATGCCCAAGGGCGTCTGAACTGTTCCAACCTTAGCTTAGACAACCGTATTTCGACCATCGAAATACATATGGCGGCGATGCTACGACTGTCTATGCAACGTATGAAAACTTACATATTCCTAGATCAAGAATAGCACCTGCGGTATTAGTATTATTTTATTTATTTTAGTTAATTAATAAAAAAAAAATAAGGTTAATGTTTCCATAGAACTTTATAATACTTATCATTTCTTTTTTTACATTGACATTATAAATAATTTAATTAATATATAGGATGATAATTAATATGTTCTAATGGTGACCATCTGTTAATTGACATGTTTTATTTTATTGACAATTTTATTGACAATTTTAATGTATGACTCTAAAATAATTAATGTTTTGTAATTAATCGTATTGATTGTATGGGTAGGCTGTTTTCCTTTGAGACGTTAATAACATCTTACGAAAAATTGTAACATACAGCTCACAATAAATTTATTCTATTCTATTCTATTCTATTCTATTCTACAGCTTTGCGCGTATGCATAAACTACCCCATCTGTTAATATGATCTACCCTTGTATTAAATTTCATTCAAATTACTTCAACCGTTTAAGCATGATTAAGTAACATACAAACATCTTGATAAACTATCACATTTATAATATTAGTACAATTTTACGATGGATACCATTAAACTAAAAAAATATACACGCCTACCTACAATGTTTTCATTTCTAACTAAAAAATATCTAGGACCCAGTAATATACTTAGTCTATGAATGTTTTTGTTTTCCATAGAGAAAAACTTCGATTATAACTAAGTCTATTGAGATAAATCTACTATTTCCTTTTAAAAGAATGTGTGGTTTTAATTGAGCAAAAAATATAAAGTCAATTTTACAATGACAAGATGTCAGGCTGTCAAATCATGGTGTAATAAATTTACAATGTTTTCGTCATATTCCATTATAAATCCCCTATTTACTTTTGCAGATCTTTAATTTCTACTAATTGATCAAATGTTATTCTTTGAAAAAATATTAGAAGCATTCTATATAATGTGGCAAGACTCTGCATGGAGTTACTTGCATTATGAATTCTACGAGGTAAGATTCAATTGGGGTGTTGATTTCTGTGAGTTGAATCCATTATTTTTACTGATTTTGTTCGTCTATCATATAAGGAGGTTGTGTAACTGCTTAGACCAATTGATTGGAACGTATCCTGATGTTATAATATACACAATCTTTTATAGAATAATAGCCAGCTTGTTCCCCACCCTACCAGAACAGAATTCGTTTCCTGCCAGAAAGATCTTAAACAATATTTCTTGGTCCTTGTTTATTAAAAATTATTGTTACTTGACGAATATTTCACACAACAGGAGAAGCATAACACTACTTCTCAACGGACTCTCCCATTCACACCTCTTGCAAAAAAATCCTAAAAGTTAACTAAAGTAAGGGTTTCTACAACCCTTCAGAACTAGGTCAAAATCTGTGTCGCTCATAACCAATACCAACTGCAGGGCTTCATGCCATCTAATGAGTCAATGTTAATATCTGACAGTTAATTGAATGGGCGAAATGCGGCGAGGGTATACTATCAACAGTACCAACTGTGTTGTGGGCAATGGGCGCGGCAGCAATAGCACACCGGCTCCTCACGGCGCTGTTCCGACGGTTCATGTTCCGGCAGATTCCTCTTTGGGAGATCATGTTACAGGTATATTGCTAAACTTTTTTATTATATTTAGAATAGCCGACAAGCTAACAGCCAACCTAATTGGACAAATAATAGTCTCCGTCTAAACTCGTATGAGTAGTGCCCTGGACTTGTGATGCCCAAGGTACCCTCCATGCATAGCCATTCCTGAGAACTATTGTGTTATGCTTTCGTACCTGATAATTACGATACTCTTCATGGTTTACCATACTTAAGGAATATGTTTTTATACACATTTTATATACAAGTTAAAAAAAGGAGGTGTCTTGGTTTCTTTTATCGTCACAACCTTTCCACGAAAAAACTATGACCCCATGAGACTTAAATGCTAAGAAAGTTCTTAAAATTTTATTTGTGATTACTTTAGGCGAAAAATAATTTTTGCAAATCAGAGGTAATACTGCCAGTATTTTAGGTACGCTGCCTGGATATAACACGTTGGAACATTATATCACCTCAGGTCCTAATTATTATAGGGTTTGACCAATATAATTAAAATAAAAAAAGAAATAAGCAAGTCCCTAAATAGATAAAAAAAAAAACAAAAAGAAGTTTTGCATACCAACAGTAATTCTGCATATTTCGTGATGTATTTCATATTCATGTGCATATTTCGCCAATTCTGAAATTTATGACGATGCTTAACTAATTTCTATTTGGTGTACTGCCTTGTCTATGGCTAGACCTTAAATTTTGAATTAATCCTATTCCAGAACTTACTGTTCATCTGGATGGTGATATACAGCCTCCACTTTTGGATGGTGCTGGTGAAGGTGATGAAACTACTCGTGGAATATTGTTATAAAGATGTAAGTTACAGACACTCTCTCACTACAACGAGGGAGGTTTTTTTAAAGGATAATTATGGAATGATAACCCCGCCCGCGCTAACGTATTTCGTCGCTTACGTCGACTTTGTACAAAAGTCGATTGCTTGGGTACCTCTGTCCCATTCGTGTTTCAACCGTAAAGCAGCTGTGTTTGCATGGCTGTGTTTCAGTTTGAAGGGTGGGATATGGCGTGAATTTACTGTGTACAGAGGAATACCACCGGAGTCCTCAGAAATGGCAACGCATGGGGGGTATCATGGGCGAAACAGTATACTTTGTTATGTCTATGGTACTGCTCACATCTATAGGCGACAGTTACCACTTTCCATCAGGTGGGCCGTCAGCTTGTTTGCCATTCTAAGTTGTTTAAAAAAAAAGATCACCCAAATCAATAAATAAATGATAAAACAATATGATGACATTCTTTAAAAGTTTATTTGTTATTTAGGAACACCAAGTGCAATCAGAAGAACACTTAGAAGGTAGAAAGATTATGCAGCAATGGCTCATTTGGATGTGCGGAGTGACACCGCTAGCAGTCTACATCCAAACAAGGCCCCGACCAGAGCCGCCGCCGCTCATGATATGGTAGATATTGGAATCGAAGAACAAAGAGGTTTCTTCAGGGTCGGCAACGCGCGCGTTATACCGCTGGTATTGCAGACGTTCATAGGCTACGGTAACCGCATACCATCAGGTGGGCCGTATGCTTGTTTGCCAACTCAGTGGTATAAAAAAAAATAAGTACCTTCAGGGGCTACCGTTCAAGGGTTTGACAACAGCCTTAACTACCAGTAGTTAAGGATTTTAGACCCTTGAAACAGGGTTTCTAATGGAAGCAAGATAAAGATGCTGTCTAACGTTGAGGCAAATCCCAAATGAGATGCTGAAATATTAACGATTTTGTCTCATGCTCAAACTATCCAAAAGCATCTCATCCTATGCAGTGTATAGAAACCATAATGCATCTGGTACGACTAGTCTTAACTTAAAGCCACAATGTGTCTCAGCAGCTGCCTCAAGATAGAACAGCCTCAGCTTTCCTAAAGTCGAAACTGCTCAAATATTAACCGTTCCATTTAGTTCATTATTGATCACTGTTTTTTTTTTTTTTTATATAATATCAAGATGGCAACAAACAAAGCCCATCTGATCTTAAAGGGTCATAATAGGGGGGAAAAGGATTGTTAGTAATGGAGACTAAGAATGCCATTGCTAGCAATATACCCAACCAGGTCAACCTCCTCGCGGTTCCCCCTGGAAACTATCATGGTTAATTCCTGATGAATTCATCATGATGGACTAACTAGCCTGTTTTTTTCTGTGTTGGGAACAACGTGGAGGTGGACCTAATAGAGTATATTGCTAGCAATGGGGCTGTCAAACTCCATTGCTAACAATCCCTTTCCCACCTAATATAGTTATAATTAGGTAATTCTTTAGTGCAGTTTACTAGGCTTATTAATAGTATGGATTGGTAGTTAGGTCTTCTCTAATTGTATAATTGTTACTTAATGTACATTGACGCTTATCTGTGAGAGCTTTATACACCTTTAATTGATTTGTTCATATGGCCTTAAGCTTGGTAGGAAGGAGTGAGATGTTTTTGTTCAAGTAAACTTAGATTTAAGCATTTTCTAATAGTAATTTTTCACTTTTACTTACTTATAACATTGTATATTGTCTGCTTAATTGTTGTGAGCATATTGTTGGTGTGTCTTTTATAAATAAATAAATAATATCATTTGTAGAGTACACGATTATAATTTTCAAATCATCATCATCATCATCTTCCTACCTTTATCCCAATCATTTGGGGTCGGCGTAATATAATTTTATCCATATTACAAAAAGATTTGGTTTTTTAGTTTTACGACCGGCCACCTGCCTGACGTCAACCCTCTTTGGGAATTTTCAAATAAAATTTGATATTAACATCCTTTTTATCTTATCCAGGATTACAACAAGCCCCTGGCAACGTCGAGAAATGGGACCCCATGGATATTACCTAAACCGCCCTTTATCGTCCCTTCAATCAACAACAGTCACGGGCGACCGACAGCAAACGACAACTCTACGTCGAGCATTTAGTGACTCTAAGATAATGATAAAAGAAACTCCTAAGAAGAGAAGATATTCAAAATCCGTTTAAATAAAATTGGAAAATTCAATAAATATATTAAACAGAAAATACTCGTTTTAATTCCAAATAACTTGATAATCACATTACATGGAAACTACATATTGAGGGAGGAAAAGGGATTGTTAGTAATGGAGACAGAATCCCATTGCTAGCAATATATCCATCCAGGTCAACCTCCTCGCGGTTCCCCCTGGAAACTATTATGATTAATTCCTGATGAATTCATCATAATGGGCTAACTGGCCTGTTTTCATTCTCATCTATCGCCCTTCACTGGTGCCCCGCCAGAGTATCTCATTAGCGCAGGCGGGGTTACCACTCCGTTTTCATCCAATAAAAAAAAAACTATATATTGAAAAAATCCTTAATCTTAAATACGTACGTAAAATATAAAAGAATGCATATGTGTAGTTAACATGTATCCCTTCCTTTATACAAACCAATGCGCGCTCAATACACTGTTTCTTTGTACACCACGCAACACTACACACGCTAATAGCCACACTCTTTTAAACTGATTACCGCGAGAATTTCCAGTGACGCGACATTTCGAATATGTATCCGCATCGAATTGATTTTGCAAATATCTACCCTCAAAAATAAGTATTATATTGTTCATCGAATTTATTTTGCAAATACCAAAATATAACCCTCCAAAAATAATATTGTTTCGTATACAAATTAGGAATCTGTAATTAGCTAATCTATGGTGTAAATATAATATCTTTTAATTATGATGATGTAAATTAAAATATAATAAATAAAAAATAAAACTTAGAAGAAAATTTATTAATTTATTTGCCACTTTATTTAATAAAAATAATGCCTACAAATGTATATACATAGACTATTTAATGTATATGTGTATATACAAAAAAAAATCAATACATAAATGTAATTTGATTTATATTGAACGAATTCTATACCGTTTACGAAGTTGTTTAAAAAAATAGGAAAAAAAAATTATGCCCAAAACAACATTGCGATCATAAATTATATGTCATCACTCAGCTATAATCCGTAACAAATATTTTATCAAACATTTTTTTTTTTGTAACTCTACCTATGTTAGAACTATAATAAGTTCGTCTGACCATGTAACCTTATTTGTTAATTTATATTTTCTCTGTCGGTGATTGCAAATCTTTTGAGAAAATAAATTTCTAAAAACTATAATTTTAATGCACGTGGAAACTACTTATTTTAATTTTCGAAATCCTTTTTCACCACTAGTAACCCTATTTTTTTTATAACATTTAGCTGACAATAGATGTCACTATTATATAATTAGACGGCGATATTAAAATTTTCGCACCAACTTATATAAGGTCACGCAAGGTGAAGAGAAGCATACTAACCTTGCGCAGGGTGTACCGTGATCAAGAAGGCGGTTGCCCCGGGCTGGCTCCAGCCATTGCACTGCGGTTGGAATTGGTCAGTCTGTGACCATCCCAAATGGGGATTCGTCGTGCGCGTAATTTTTGGTAGTTGGACATGCGTTTCTGCGCTGTCCTCTTGTAATTAATACAAAGCAAACAATAAATACTCCTTTCTTTACTAGGAATTATAAAAAAATGGGCAACCGCCATTTAATGTTAGACATGAAATGAAAATTGTAAGCTATCGTAAATTATTACGAACCAAACCGCGATGGGAAGATCTCGAGAGCCAATATAATTATAAAATTACCTTCCTTTAAACACAGAAATTATGGCTAAATATAGAATTCACATGACAAAATTTGATGCAGACCTATTGTTATTGTAAATCGATAATATTCCTAGAAACCTATTACAAATTAGGTTTATAAAAAGAATTGTAAACATAAAACTGAAAAATTTATCCGTCGTACATTACGTGTCAATATGGAACGGAACATAATTTTCAAGCGACTTCAAAAAGATCTTTAACTATGATTCAATTAATGCCTTACTGCCATAGATTAAGGTAGTACCTAACATACTCTTTCTATGGTACGCTATTAAATATATAAGAATATAAAGCGTTTATATAATGAATCGTTGTCTCTTTTTTTTTACGCTAAATTCCGAATTTGAAAGTAACAAAGCAATGTAATAGTTAAAAAAAAAAAGTAGGTTTTAATTTTTATGAATAAGGGGAGTATTTTCTACATTTCTCTATATTTTTATTATGACATTTAGAATGGCCGATAACAATTCGTATTTTTACCGAGTATATTTTAAACGTACTGTTTCTATTATAATTTCGTCAACATTTAAGTAGAATTTTTATGAAACAAAATCCTGGTTATTTTAGGACCTTTCTTATAAACCCCTTAGCCACATTAAAGGTTTGATATGACATACAAAGGTTCAAAAATTATGTTCATACTGCCTATACCAGCTGCATCGTCTGTATAACTGGGACAATAATAGCCTACCTATTTACTTGTCCATTCCAAGTACTACGTGTACGCCAAAATTTATGTCGATTGGTTTAACTGTGAAAGCGCCAAAATGCAATTTTCACATATTTTCGTATGTAGCAAACATTTGCATTTCGATTGTATATTCCTAACTTGTTCAATATCTTTCTCATATATTTAAAAAAAAAATATGCCAACTTAAACATAACTGAAATAACAAATCTTGGCGTACAACTACATATGTATGAGCATTTTGTATTATTTTTCATGATAATCCGTAGGCACACTAGAGCGTTCATAACGAAATATGTCCAAAAGGGGTGCTCAAAATTTCAAAATGGACGTACTAGTTTTTAGTGGGGTAACATATAAAAGGGCATCATTTACACATTTTAAAACTATTTTTTTATTTATTTTTACGCTCTATAATTTAGGACTTATAATTGAAAATGTGAGAAAAATAAACAAAAAAAAATTAAACAGGGGGAGGGGGATCCTTATCTTCAGAGTTCATAAAAACAAAAATATGAAACAATTAATCGCATAACTTTATTAACATTTATTTTTATGCTGCAATATTCACGTGAATATTACAATAAAAAAAAAAAATAAACTATCACAATTTTTGAGAATTTATAAAAATACCTTCACAAACAAATTAAATTTTGCTGTTGGATTTTTAAGCACAGTTACGGCCTAAAATACAGACATCCTATTTGAAATAACACTAATAATAATTACGAGTTTGATATATCAAAAAAAAATTAAATTAAGTCATTTTTTTTTTAATACAGGGGGCAAACGAGCAGGCGGCTCACCTGACAGTAAGTGACTACCGTCACCCATGATCACTCGCAACACCAGAGCCAATGCAGATGTGCTGCCGGCCTTTCAAAAAAATTCATTTCCTAATAGATTTTTAGTGCTACATTTAGCCAACAGATGGGAGTTGTTAAAATTTAGATTGCAATACGATTCTATTACGGGAAAATGTAAATATTCCTAGCACTAATTTAAAAAGTTCTACTCATTTATTGATCGATATTTGTATATTGTAATATTTCTTTTTTTTTTTTATACGACTTAGAATGGCAAACAAACTGACGGCCCACCTGATGAAAAGTGGTAACCGTCGCATATAGACATGAGCAGTACCATGGACATAACAGAGTATACTGTTTCGCCCATGATACCCCACATGCGTTGCCATTCCTGAGGACACAGGTGTTATTCCTTGAGTGAGTTTAACTGAAATGTTTCTATGAATATGTTTTTGTCACGATACCACACCTCCCCGAGCGAACACAGGACAGGTCTATGGGACGGGATCAACAGAAAAATTGTTTTTCTCACTAAATGCTTTTTCACGTTTCTTTTAAAGGATCCGAAATTAAAGCATAAAGGGAACACACCACTGATATCTCACAATGTACGGTACAGTTCACATAGAACATCACAAAGTTATTTGAACGCGAGCACTGGCTGTCTACCATGTGAGGATCCAGGCCCATCCTCTTGGTGCAATATCGGAAAGGGAAGGTGGAATAAAAAAAATTATTTCTTCCGAGCATTTCCTATGGGATAGGTGGTGGAGGACAATGAGGGAGGGAACATCTCTTTGTAATGACGTTTAACTTAACCTACCGGAAATTGTTTGCGATCAGATCAACCTCCATGCAGTTCTCCCTGGGAATCATAGTGGCTAATTCTTGTGGAATTCGTCACAGCCAACTAGTCTGTTTTCATCCTCACCTATCGTCCCTCACTGGTGCACATAGTCAAGTAAAAGGTGGTAACCATCAACTATAGACATGAACTGCACCATAAATATCACTGAATACACTGCGATGGGGTACCACTCACCCCTCACATATTGTCAATCTTGAAGGCTATAGTTTATATATACATGAAGAAATTCCGAAACGAAATCTCCTAATTAATCTAGTAACAGCTTAGACAATGTTTGGTTACCAGGAATCCCAAGTTCGAATCCCAGCAGAAATGTAGAAGACATTTCTTTCAGACTTCATAATTCGTGTTTGGATCATATAAAAATTGTCACATGCAACGAAATAAATCCATTAATACTGTAAACCACGCTAAAAGCCTTCTTCATTTGCAAGGCACCTAAAAAACTTGACAACAGAGGGCGCTTTTACACCAGTAAAATAAACACTGTAAGAGTAAACCTCATAATAGCACCATATTTAAACCAAAAAATGCACTTAAACGGAGATTGAAAGAACCCCCTTTTTAGCTATTTAAAAATGCTTGAACCCTCGCAAAACTTCGTAGTTTGTAAAAAAAAATAAAGATTAACATAATAGAAATATTTATTATTCATTGACAGTATGCCACAAGCACGGCATCGAATCCCTGACGGTACTAACCGAATCCAACAACTAACCATACGAGACGACCCGACAAGCGGCCCCGCGCGCACTGTGTAAAAAAAACACAAGATCAGACACATTTTATTGTACACTCATACAGTTGTTAGAAAAACAAAAAAACAATAATGTTACATTTGTTAACAATTTCATAACAATAGTTTCATCCGTTCGAATACTAACAAAGGTTATGTGTCGCCAGCGGCGGCTCTTGGCTTCGCGTCGAGACTCTTCAGCGGATCGTTGTGCCGTGCCTGAAAATAACGATATAGGTATTAATAATGTAAATAATAATTCAGTTTGAAGGTTGGGATATGGCGTGAATTTGCTGGGTACAGAGGAATAACACCTGAGTCCTCAGGAATGGCAACGCATGGCTATCATGAGCGAAACAGTATACTCTGTTATGTCCATGGTACTGCTCATGTCTATAGGTGACGGTTACCACTTTCCATCAGGTGGGCCGTCAGCTTGTTCGCCATTCTATAGTATAAGTTTACTACCTTTTTATATTTATATTTTTATATTTCGAATATGTATCCCAAAGAGGGTTGACGTCAGGCAGGTGGCCGGTCGTAAAACTAAAAAACCAAATCTTTTTGTAATATGGATAAAATTATATTACGCCGACCCCAAATGATAATTGGGATAAGGGTAGGAAGATGATAATGATATTTCGAATATGTCTTTTGATACCTATTTTGTTTTTTTACTTGATTGACATATCACTACACAGTATAAAACAAAGTCGCTGTCGCTGTCTGTCCGTCTCTATGTATGCTTAAATCTTTAAAACTACGCACCAGACTTTGAAGCGGTTTTTTTTAATAGAAAGAGTGATTCAAGAGGAAGGTTTATATGTATAATACATGCATAATATTGTAGAGGAACACTGATAATTTTAGAGGTTTCTAATGTGATGTAATGCGTGTGTAATGTAACCCGTGCGAAGCAGGGGCGGGTCGCTAGTTGTATATATTGTGTACGTCTAAAAGGAATTATACTGGTAAGCCCCTCTATATTATTATTTTATTATTGTCGCTGCCCTTCTCTTCTACCAGCGCGGTTACTACAAGTAAAAGCGGCTCGTTTGCCCACTAAGTTATTAAAAAAAATAAAAAAAAAAATAAAAAACTCATGCACCTCCTGTATGATGACACCTTCGTGCTGAACATATCAATGGATTATATGTATTAATATTATGATATTACCTGATATTTCCGTCTCTTTGTATTCTCGTAGTTCTTATTGTGTTTCTTCTTCTTGGCTGGAGGGGCGGTTTCTGTTTGCTGCTCAGTGTCCGCTGGTTCCTCGCTCCTCAAGGCAGCAGGAAGCAAATACTCAGGTATATGTGCTAGATGTGGCTGCACTTTTACTGTGTGAAGGGCCTTATCTCTCCTGAGAGCTGCCAAGTCTGAGGGATTCTCTTCGAAGTAGCCCTAATGAAAAAAAATTAAAGATGTAAGAGAAATATAGGAAGAAATAGTAAAAGGGTATGATTCTTGGATGAATTCAGAGAGAAGATTAGTCGTTCATCAATGTATTATGTTATATAGATGTCATCATGTTAAATTTTTTTTATGCAACTTAGAATGGCAAACAAGCTGACGGCCCACCTGATGGTAAGTAGTAACCGTCGCCTATAGACATGAGCAGTACCATGGACATATCAGAGTATACTGTTTCTCAGGATATATTTACTGAGAACTCAGGTGTTATTCCTCTGTTCATACAAGTAATATTAAAAAAATATAGAAGAAGCGAAAGAGATTGATTTGGAATAAAATTAAATCGGCGTATTGGCGTTGTACGCCTTGTGTTCCCGGCATAGAAAGTGTTACCCCTTCCTTTCTCATGGATGTTAAAAGAGGCAGATAAAAAAAACTTAATGGTCGAGGGATAGGTAGCAGCGTCCCATCACCAAAGTCTAACTGCCGTTGACAATCCGTCCGCCAAGCGTAGCAAGTACTGACAAAACCCCCTTACGGAGAAGCCTATGTTCACCAGTGGACATAGGCTACACTTGATATAACAATAATTGGCATTCAACTCAGACGTGACGGATGCGTATGTATGCAACGGACCTGCAGCGGGGAGAAAGGGATTCTTAGTAATAGGGTCAAATAGCCCCATTACTAGCAATATCAGGTCGACCTCTACGTGGTTCCCCCTGGAAACCATCGTGGTTAATTCTAGTTGAGTTCGTCAGGATGGGCTAACTAACTTGCTTTTATCCTCATCAGTCATCTATCACTGGTGCTCCGCCAGTGTATACCGATAGCGCAGACGGGATTACCATACCATTATCACCCATAAAAAAAACGGACCTGCAGCTTCTTGCAGTTGATCAGCTCGTGCTTGATCTCCTTGAGGCGCGCCTCGCGGACGGCGATGCGGGTGACGGCGCGCCAGGCGTCCCGCGACCGGTACCGGAACCCCTCCACCTCCTCCAGCGCGAACTCGTACTTACTGCAAGGGAAGCATCATCGTCACACCGACGTTACAAATGGTAAGTTTACACGGTACATTCACTACAACAACATAATAAGAGATGATGGTGATGATAATGATGACATAACGAAGACTGATTATAACATAATGAAGCCTGATGATGACACAATGAAGACAGATGATAACATAATGAGGACTGATGATGACATAATGAGTGCTGATGATGACAAAATAAGAACTGATGATGACATAACGTGAACTGTGATGACATAATATGGACTGAGGATGACATAATGACAACTGTGGGCCTACCATGAAATGTTTTCCGAAATTTCGGAGCCAAACGAAACAGAAATTTGATGTTAAAATATGCCGTAAAAGATAATACATGCCGTTTGGAAATATTAAAAATGTTAAAATATTGTTCCTTTGGACTTTTATAATAGGATGCATGACAAAAGAAATGTTAAACTCCATTTATTGATCCGATTTTGGTATAAACAAAAATACAAAATTGAGTCCAAAATTTCGGAATTTCATTTCATGGTAGACCCGCTGATTTTCTATTTTAATTGATAATGTAGCTTTCTAGAGACGAAACGAGTTTTAAAATAGTTTAAGTAGTTTTTTATTTTTTTTTTAATTTATCCATTACAAACAAAGAAACATACATAAAATAAAATCCTCCCTCTTTACAATATAGTTTAAGATATAAAAGCTTCAATACGAGTACATTCAATAGACATAATTTTTATATGTCTAACAGCCAGCAGAAGTACAGAAGACAAGTTGACAGATAATTGAAAATAGACTACATATTATTTCATGTTTGTAATTACATACATTAAAAAAATATTATGGTAAATTATCGAATGACAATTACAACACTATGTCTTACTTTTTTTGCACTATCAACATGAAATGACGATCCTAATATAAAAAAAAAAAAACAATTTGTTATAGACACTTCGTTGTCGTGTAAATAGATAAAAATTCACTACATATGAATGAATACTTACTGGAGAACTTTCTGACTCTTGAAGCCCTTTGAAAGGTGCGCCTCTACCGCGTCCATCAGTGGCTTCTCGCGTATTGACACGAACGACAGCACCGAGCCCTGTATGATTGTAAAAACATGTTATAATTGTATTACTAGGAAGGATATCGCACATTTCATGCTTAACTTTTTTTAATGGGTGATAATGGAATGGTAACCCCGTCTGCTCTATCGGTATACGCTGACGGGGCACCAGTGAGGAATGATAGATGAGGATGAATGCAAGTCAGTTAGACAATTGTGACGAACTCCACTAGAATTAATCACGATGGTTTCCAGGGGGAACCGCGTAGAGGTCGACCTGATAGGGTGTATTGCTAGCAATGGGTTAGTTAGACTCCATTACCAACAATCCCTTTCCCCTCTCATGCTTGATTTATAACACTGGCTATCTACCCCGGCTTCGTACGGGTAGATAGTAAGGTAAATTAGTAATTTACCAGGATATGTTTACTGACCGGCATAAAAAATAGCGTATATAAAGAAATATATTTTTTCATCCATAATAAACACTATACGGAATGGAGATTTTTTTTTATACAACTTAGAATAGAACACAACAACTATCATCTCATAATCTCCTCCTCATCACCCCATCACACCATTCCGGATTTATGTCCAATTCTTTTACTGTCACCGCTATCAGCCTTTGGAATAAAATCCCTGTAGATCTACGCAGAGACACGACTTTCAAACCTTCAAGAGCATATATCAAAAGGCCGGCAGCACACCTGCAATACCGCTGGTGTTGTGGGTGATCATGGGCGGCGGTAGTCACTTACCAGGTGAGCCGAATGCTCGTTTGCCACGTGTTGTTAAAAAAAATCCTTTTTAAAAAGCCGTCAATATATCTGCAATTTCTCTGATGTTGCAGATGCTTATGAACGGCTGTAATCACTTGCCATCAGATGAGCCGTATGCTCTTTTGCCCCCATGTTATATATAGAAAAAATCCCGTAAACTTTACATATATAAAATGTATAACAATTATTATAAGCTTGCCTGGTTGTTGCCCCTGGCGGTGCGCCCAGCTCTGTGCACGTAAGAGTTCACGTCGAGCGGGAAATCAAAGTTGATAACGTTCGCCACGTGTTGGAAGTCTATACCGCGAGATACGCCCGACTCTTTATCCCTTTTTCTCTTTGAAGCTTGCTGTAAAACAATACATTTATTAAAATATTTAAATTATACTTTTTTTTTATACGACTTAGAATGGCAAACAAGCTGACGGCCAATCAGATGGAAAGTGGTAACCGTCGCCTATAGACATGAGCAGTACCATGGACATAACAGAGTATACTGTTTCGCCCACGATAACCCCCATGCGTTGCCATTCCTGAGGACTCAGGTGTTATTCCTCTGTACCCTGTAAATTCACGCCATATCCCACCCTTCAAAGCGAAACACAGCCATGCAAACACAACTGCTTCACGTTAGAAACACGAATGGGACAGAGGTACCCAAGCAATGGACTTTTGTACAAACTCTCCCTCGCTCCCTCTATACTAATCTATTTATACAAATTTATAGACCGTGGGTAAAAAAGTGTTACCAATAGGAATCAGCAATATACCTTGTCAAGTTGACCTCTCTACATAGCCATACAAAAACTAATGCAATTATATCCTGATGATTTTATCATGCAACAAATCAACCTATCTTCATCATGTCAGCCTTTAACTGTCCATAAGCTGGACATAAGCCTTCCCCTTGGGAGGGTTTACCAGTAGTTGCCACACTTGACATACAGATTGTCAACCGCAGTTAAGCTTTGGCGATATTTTACGAAGGATGCTGTTGCGCATCGCTACACAAATCATAATTCCGAGCATATTTCAAGTTAAATAAGTTGGATTACCTTTTTCTTTTTGGTCCTCTCCTCTATGGGCAATATACCACCGTCGGGCTTCTCCAGAGCCTTCTCATCCGAAGCTATGATGATCTGATACCGGCCCCTGTTGAACTGGTCCACCGACAGGCACCGCACCGCGGCCGGCAGCTCCGAGTTGAGCACACACGAGCTGATCTTGAACTGTTCCAGATAGAGTTTTAATCTGAAGAGGGGATAATGAAAGGTAAGACGATGGAACGATTTGAGATTTTCAATTGAATTTACTGGGTACAGAGGAATAACACCTGAGTCCTCAGGAATGGCAACGCATGGGGGGGTATCATGGGCGAAACAGTATACTCTCTTATGTCCATGGTACTGCTCATGTCTATAGGCGACGGTTACCACTTTCCATCAGGTGGGCCGTCAGCTTGTGTGGCATTCTAAGTTGTATAAAAAAAAAAAGTATTTTATGTTTGTTACTTCAAAGTTCTGTCATTTATAAACCAGCCCCTGCTTCGCACGGGTGCACATTATATCACACACATTAGAAACCAAAAAAATATATATTATGCATGTGTTATACATATAAACCTTCCTCTTGAATCACTATTTAAAAAAATCCGTTGCGTAGTTTTAAAGATATAAGCATACGTAGGGAACATACAGACGGGAAGCAACTTTATAAAATACAAATAGATATTATTACTACACATACAGATTAGTTCCAAAATAATTTTATCAAATTCGTTTCAGTATTTTAGTTATTAAGTCAAAATAAAGTACGTATTTTTTTTCTGTGTAACAAAATAAACTTGTTATATTATATATAGTAAATTATATATAGTAAAATTTATTAATTACAAAATCATCTTTTTTTAAGTAGCTTACAAAAACAACCAAATTTAAGAAAAAAAAAAAGGTATTTTTGAAGTGGATTGAAAATTGTGAAGATTCATTTATTAAGAAAATTGTTAGCTACAAAAGTTAACACGCACTTATGCGTATTTATAACCATAGAACAGTAATTTACATACAAAACAAAATATACTATCATAGATTATGATATATTACGTCGTAGTGCAATCCACATCGAAACGTCGTCATAACATTAAATGCCCAAAAATTATATAAAAGACCAAGTTCACTTAAAGTTGATCGTATCTGGACACCTTTTTAATGTCCATATGTGCAGAAAAAAAAAACATTGCTGTCAAATTTATTTTTTTAACCATTTTTCCTTTAATTTTGAACATGAATTATATCACCTTGATTTATTTCACCAATAAAAAAAAATATGCAAAGAAGGGTTAAGTCCCGATTGTGTATTTAAAATAAACTATTCTCTTATTGCACTGCACGCATTACCATAGATATGATTCCATATATGACATTTCAATTTGCATAAAAAAAATTACTTACTTGTAACATCTGTCCACTGTTCGTACAAATATGATACTCTTCCCCCTGACAAGATTCAGTTTGAGCAGTGCATACAGTATAGCCGCTTTGTCATCCTCTTCGGCGAACAAATGATAGTGCTGCAGCTGTGACGACGGAGCCAGTTCGGGCTCCTCTAGTTTCAACGTGACAGGATTGCGGAGGACTATCTTTTTAAGACTCAGCACATCATCTGACAGTGTCGCTGAAGCGAGTACTGCTTGATAAATTTTCGGTAGGTGACTAGAAGTAAAAATGTTTTGATAAAACATTAGTATTTTTTTAATGGATGATAGTCGAATGGTAACTCCGCTTGCGCTGATGGTATAAGCTGGCGGGCACCAGTGAGGGATGACAGGTGAGAATTAATAGGCAGGTCAGTTCGCCCATCTTGATGTATTCAAATAATTCAGTACAATAGTTTCCAGAGGGATGTCCACGTGGAGGTGGACCTGATAGGGTTTAATCAAATAATTAGACAATAAAATCTATCCTCTTTACATTAGTATAAATAAAGTTTGCTGGTGAGATAGCAATCCACACATTTCTCAATATGGCAACTTTATTAGTCTATGTTTGATGTATGTAGAGTGTTGCTCTCTGGTTGCTGTCTGGTAATTGTAAGAAAAGAAATATGTCGCCTCTAATACATTTTATTCTTTATACTCCTGGGCAGGTTATAGTATACTTTTCATCACACTACGATCAATAGGAGCAGAGCAGTGAAGGGAAATGTTAAAAATGTCCACCCGTGCGACGCCGGGACGGGCCTCTAGTTCCAAATAAAAAGTCACCTAATGGAGTATAACCCAGACTCGAGACAACTTAGGAAGTTAAGGCTGCCAAATAGTTAGTCAACATTGAACTTAAACTTATATTTAGACAGATAGATAGATAATTTATTTGCATTACTTACAGCACACAAATTATATAGATATACATAAAAAGTGAAATAACATATATGATTTAACAAAAAAAAATACATAAAGCCAAATACATTTTTTTCTTTTATGCCTGTGCCATAACAATACATATTTCTCATTCACATTAGCTTGTACTAACTTTATCTTAGTCCTACAAGATAGTAAAATACATCTTCTATAGTGACAATGAATTTCTTTTTGTAAAAATAACTTACAGTTAAATAAATAAAGCTCACCTTAATAATTCTTTTATTTCATCTTCATATCCAAAGGAGAATACCAAATCTGCCTCATCCACCACCAGCATAGCTAAATCGTCCTTTACTCTCATGTTATTTGCTTTCAAATGTGCAAGCGCTCTCGACGGAGTGGCTACAACTATGTCTGGTTTATCCAATAACAGGGACTTCTGTGTCTGCATGTCCCCGCTTGCCGAGATATCCACACATCGCACTTCCCATGCACATTTTAAGGTTAGATCTCCTATAACAGATGCAATCTGGAAGATTTTTTTTATTCTTATTTTTGTTGAGGTTTCACCCCAGTGATTAACCCATATGGAATATCTGTTTGTAAGCCTGCCAAATCAGTTTGTCAGGGACACTTTGAGACAGACCCATTCACATTCTTCTTCTCATTTATGTTTCTACTGTAAAGCAGTTATATTTGCATGGCTGTGTTTCAGTTTGAAGGGTGGGATATAGCAGTGAATTTACTGGGTACAGAGGAATAACACGTGAGTCCTCAGAAATGGCAATGCATGGGGGGGGGGGGGGGGTATCATGGGCAAAACAGTATACTTTGTTATGTCCATGGTACTACTTATGTCTAAAGACGACGGTTACCATTTTCCACTAGGTAGATCATCAGCTTGTTTGCCATTCTAAATTGCATAAAAAGGAAAGAACCTCATGAAGGCAAATTTAGCAATAAGGCTGCCCACTGTTTTCTCAATGTAATCTTGTAATTGTATCTATAATAAGATTTCTATTGTAATATTTTGAGGTAAACAATAAAGATCTATATATCCATCTAAAAATATTAGAATATGGCCGCTAATCTATAAAGTCCATTACTAACAATCTTCTATATTATTTATACTTAATACTAATTGGCTTTTACTCACAGCTTTATCCATATTACTGGGTAATGTTAATTGAATGATATAAATAAATATTATCCCTTCCTTTCATAAATATTATGAGTATACAAAGTTTCATAAAGATTGATTAAATACTTTTTTATGCAACATAGTAAACAAACTAATTGCTGACCTGATGGAAAGTGGTAATTGTCGCCTATAGAGATGTAGATGAGCTAAACAGTGTATACTGTGTTGTCCATGATACCTCTCATGCTATTACTATATCTACTTTTACAGTAATAATATTATTTTGTAAGAAGAAGACAGATTTTATTGTTTTTTTGTAATGAATAAACTTATAAACTGCTCAACAGATTTTAAAAATTCTTTCACCTATAGAATGCTACTTTATCAGCAAGTAACAAATTATAAATATTATTTTCGAAAATTCTAGCTATTCGTACAAAGTAGGTAGGATCACTAATTAAAGATAAACACGAATATCTAAAAAAAATTACAAGTACTCACTTGTCCACACAGTTCTTTGCTGGGAGACAAAATCAAAGCGTGTATAGCTTGATGACGAGTAGTGTTTTTCAAGTTTAAAATCTTCTGAATAACAGGTATTGTAAACGCAGCCGTCTTTCCTGAACCCGTACGTGCACGCATAAGGACATCTTTACCTTCTAGAAGCAGCGGAATAGCTGTTTCCTGAATCAACGTGGGTTCACTCCATGCCAACTGCGAAATCGCCTAGAATCCACAAAGAAATAATCGTTAATAGCCTTTCAGTGCGGTTAAAACGTTAATGTATTATATAAGTGAACTACTATCACGAGTTTACCTTTAAAATACGATCATCGAGCTCCATTTCGTGAAACATAACCTTTTTCTCATCATCCATGTTGTTTACAATTTATAACCAAAAAAAACACCAAACAAATATTCTTAGAATTTAGTCTTATTTACAGCATTAAATTACAAATTGATTATAGTTTTGAATTGTTTAACATTATATTAATAAACGTTATTCAATAAAAAGTATATATTATTAAAAATGTGAAGAATTACGATATCAATATGATTGGATTGATTGATTTTTTTTAAGCTAGAGGCTAGTGTTGCCATTTATGCCACTAAAAAAAAACAGAACAGAGAAGTTTAAAAAAAGAACGGACGGATTTTGCTATTAAATATCATGGTTTTATAGTGTAATGCCTAAGAAAAAAAGAAACTAGAGAGTTCTATCGATAGATCGAATGATATTAATTATAATTAATATATATGAATTAATAAACATAAGATGGATGTAAGAAAAGGAATTTTTAATAAAATGAGTGATTTAATAATATACCGAATTAGACCGACTCAATTAAATTCTTGACCTGATGTACTCATATACTCAAATGAATTCTAGTCACATGTTAATAGTAAAATGTTAAGTTTTTATGCTCTATCGTTTCATTCATCTTTACCTTAATTACCAATAGTAAAATTATTAAATGACCGAATGTTTATTATCTCCAATTAAAAATAAAATTTAAAAATCAAATGAAAATTCACTCCAGTTTGATTCAATGTTCAAATAATCATATAAATATTTGAATCCGAGCAATTAACGCAGTCCTCTGACTTTGAAATTGATAAATGGCATAAAAAGGGGACCGCGGGTATTATTCTCATTCCATGGCGAAAAGCAGCTTACATACATATTTTGCTACTCAACGTTACCAAAACTATTTATTTTTAGTCATATTTAAAATATTTTTCCACAAATCGATACAATTTCCTTTACTTTTACCAAATCACAAACTTGTATCAGTTTTTATCATACTTTACATACATGAAGGACTTTGTATAAGAACGAAAAATGCAGTTACTGCCATTGATATGTTTAAAATTATTTTCCAGAGGGCTTGGTTCTTTATAAAAAACGTATAATGTACTCTCGGATACATAAATTATATATCCAAGAGTACGTTATATATTTATAACGATTATAGCGAGTTATGAAGAGGTCCACATTTGGAGTTTTCTTGCGAGAAATAATCTGAAATGAGGATATCCGCAAAAAAGCTGAAGTGGCAAAGAGCTGGTCACATAACTTGAAGAACCGATAACCATCAAGAAGAAGGTTCTTGAGTGGATTGTAAACCTTAATATAAAAATTAAAAAAAAATGTCTGATTTGCTTCAAATTTACTATTTATGTTTCTTGATTGATTTATTAATTTATAAATAATTAAGATAAACATGCATTGAAAAACTTCAAGTTTTTGAATTAATAATAATAAAGTTATCATCTCTTCTTTGGTCTATATTTATTATTTTGAAGGGTTAGCACCTTAGGTTGCTACGTTTGTAATACATATTTAAGTATTTTGTGCATATTTGCTAAAAATCTTCATATGCCTACTGCAATTATTTATGTCATCTTTATTCACTTTTTAAATTCGGCAACGCCAGACAATATTCAAACTACAAATAAGGACTCCTATTGAACTCAAAACTAGTCGGGCATTACCGAAATGGAAACGTTAGTAAAACGAATATAAATAATTACAAATAAGCATGAGTCACGATAGATATTATTCATATACATTCGTCTAGGTGCAAATAATGAAATACAAAATATATAAATATCACCCCTAGGATTAATAAATGTTTCCTTTATACAAAGTTATCTACTACAATTAATGTAAAATATAAATAATACATATTTTTCTAATGTATTAACAAAATGAGATTCCATATAAATATGTATAAAAGCATGCCGAAAAAAAAAACGCCGCAATATACTTTTTTTACAACCAGCTATAATAAATATTTCATGCTTCTCACTTTGAAAATAACAGACTTCCATACAACCATTTATCCTTTATCCATACTTACGTGCGAGTGTAGTCACGGACAACAGGTTAAGTTTACTATAATGTCGTTGCTAAAAATGCCAAGATGATAAGGACAGAAAATACGCATTTTATTTCTTTCGTACTCATTTGAAGACGTATCTATATTATCTCTTTCTAATTATAACATTGCCAGTGTATCGTTCTTCAGAGTTGGCCGGTTGTGGCCGTACTCTTTAGTGTTACCCTTTTAATAAAATATAGGTACTTATCTTGAAAATAGGGGTAAAATATATCTATTCAAACATTATAATAAACGTTATGATTAAGAAAAAATAAAGTTTATTTTAAAATGCCTAGGATGGTAGTTAAAAAATAACACTAGACTCGTATTGCAAATTCATTTTCTAAGAATGGCTAATTACCATGTCGTAATTATAAATAACCTTTTTTTTTCTATGTTAACACCAAACGAATGGCCGAGTTGTTTCTGTAGGTATTACAATATTTCAACTTGTTAGATTAAAAAGAAGTTATTTACTTTCATCTTACTTACCGCTCAGTTGTTAATATTAATAAAAAAATTCAAACAAAGTCAAAGTAGTTTTTGGAAATATTAAAGATGATGTATTGCGAGGGCGTTACGGGCCACAGTTCATTGCCTTATGTAAAACTTGAAATTGTGTTTCTTCCGTGAATGACCGAAATAATACGGTGTCCTTTGTGTATAATGAGTGTTAGTGTTAAAGTTATATAAAAAAGTGTCAAAATGTCTACATCATCTGCACAAGTTTTGATGAAAAAAGGTAAACGAGGTGCAGCTGGCTACATACACGCGGAATGCGTAAACGGATCCCCACAGCACCTTGGACCACTTTTGGATGTGCTGCTAAATCCTAGCAAGTCTATTGATGAGTGGGAGACAGTGGATTGGTGTCGTTGGCTCATTGCTGGCGGTAGAACGCCGGACGAGTTCGCGGCCATAGGTGAGTTATAACTGTACTCTAGAATCTACACCTTCTTTCTAGGTTATGACCATCGTTTATTGCCTTATTTGCGCGCGATTACCTTTTTTTTGCATTGCCACACGTAGTGCAGTGGTGTCTGCATGATCTTTCATTGTCTGACATTGAATTTAGTTATTTTGTATTCCTGCACATATCTTCTAATTTGTACCCATATCTACCTGATAACTGCTGTCTGGTTGGCATTTATATTTTACATATCAAAGGCGTTGTAAACAATGATAAGATATAAAGTTTACTTATTGTTTGTGTTTACTATAAATATTAATAGTAATTTAGATATTCTTTCTTAATTGGCTTGGAAATTGTTAAAAAAAAAAAGTATGTCAATTAGCTCTTTTCAAATGGAATAAGTCATTAATAAAAGTAACACAAGTTTTAATTATATTTTAATTCATAACATTACAGCATAAAAACAGTAGATTTTTATTTAGACTTTTTTTTTTTTAATTAGTAAAAAACATATTAATGTAGTATGTGTAGGCTTCAGTTAGTACTTGTTAAATAGTTTAATTACATCTAAAGTTGACAAGAGTGACCTATTTCAGAGACACTTTACAAGTTCATGGCTTGTCTGATCAATTTAGGTCAATGTAGGTCTTCTGGTATCTACCGTGTTCCACTTTTGCATTGTTATCTGTATTATACTTTTATCATGCATTTTTTTTATGTGCATGACCTTACTTAAACATTATCTTTTTCATTTTGAATTGTCTTGAATATAGGAATTTTCTACTAATTTATATTCCATGACTGCCTTGATGATTTTTCTTTAAATCAACAGGATTTCTTCCCATTCTGGTTCTATACTACCTAGTTATCTCACAGCCTTATTAGTTGGTTTTTTGAACAAAATTTTAAATGAATTATATAGAATACTAACATTTTGAAGTAATAATGTTTTTCTTTGTTGATGTCTTGTTTCATTATTTGGGATCAAATCTTCTCAGTTTTACCCTCCTAGACAAGTGGCATAGGAGTGTATCAATAGAATTAGTATGGCTGGCATATCCATGAGATAGAATGAGATGGCAATATTTATCTTTTTTTTTTTCTCATGTAACTGCTAACTGTAACAATTCTATCAATAGATTTGTTTGCCCCTTGTCTACAGGAACTGGATTGTTATTTCTGAGAACTAGGATTTTTTAAGGTTTTTTGTTACATTTTTACACCAAGTCAATGGATGTCTTCATCCTCCGATGAAGCCACCCGTTGACTTGGTCGTCCGAGAGGAGAGTCTCTCAGACAGGTTTAGAACAAATTGAACCATATTATTAAAAGTACCCATAACCTGCGAGCATGTATGAAAAGATTGATGAATATTGAAAAAGTGAAAGAGGTTTGTTTGAATTTACTTACCCTACCCTATGGGAGACAGGTGTGACAGATATCTATGTATGTATGTATGTATGTATGAACCATACTATCATTCACTTTTCTTTTTACATGTCCATGCCTATCTGATGTGGGTTTTTGTCATCTCATTGATAATAGGTGTTCATTTCTATTATGTGTATGCATATATTCCTATTGAACTTTATCCATAATGGTCCATCCTAAGTCCATCATAATCCCCCATCTCCCCAGATCAACCTAAACATTTTTATTTCATTAATATTCATCTTTTCCCTTGTGCCCTTTTTCGATGCTCTGCCCTATGTAAAAATGCTGGACATACTTTGGTTTTATAACTAATAGTAGTTTTTTATAATGGGTAATAATGGTATGGTAACCCCGTCTGCGCTATCGGTATACAGGGCGGGGCACCAGTAATAGATGATTGATGAGGATGAAAGCAGGTCAGTTAGCCCATCTTGACCAATTCAATCAGAATCAGCTATGATGGTTTCCAGGGGAACCACGTGGAGGTCGACCTGATAATCCCTTTTCCCCCAACTAATAGTTGTTAACCATATATAAAACTATAGGGTTAGCAAGTGCCCTTAGATAGATAATTTCTTTGCATTACTTACAGCACACAAATAATAATACAAATATATACATATTACAGACATACACAATAAAAAAAAAAAAGAATGAAAAACGAAAAAGCAAAATATATAAAACAACAATTTCCTTCTGTTTCAGTTATTACTACTGCATACATTTTCAGACTCAAAATTCTTACACCACTATTTTATATGTAGATTATTTTTTAAGACACAGATGTACTGTGAGTCTATGCTTTTGCTACTGGTACTGGCAGCATCTTTTATGGGATGCAAATGGAACTGTAACCCTACATGCAGTTGGTACACATTGGCAAGTTCTGTGAGTGGGGGAAAGGGATTATTAGTAATGAGGTCTAATAGCCCCATTGCTAGCAATAGACCCTCTCAGGCCGACCTCCACACGGTTCCACCATCATGGTTAATTCTTGTCGAATTCATCATGGTGGGCCAACTGATCTGCATTCATTCTCACCTATCATCTTCCACTGGTGCCCCGTCGGTTTATACAGATAGTGTGGGCAGGGTTACCATTCCATTTTCATCATTCATCAAAAAAAAAAGTCCTGTAAGTGATGATGATAGGAGAGATTCGAAGTTATGTCAATTGGCCCATTATAATAAATTCACATAGAATTAAACATGTAGATTTACTGGGTAGATGATGCCCTAATAAGACTTATTGCATCACTGGGGTAATTAGTCATCATTAGTAATAGTCCCCTGCTATCATTGCCCTTTTTCTATGGGTGAGAATGGTAACCCCACCCGCGCTATCGGTATACACCGACGGGGCACCAGTGAAGAATGATTAGGTGAGAATGAAGTAGGTCAGTTACCTGATAGGGTATATTGTTAGCAATGGGGCTGTCAAACTCCATTGCTAACAATCCCTTTTCCCCCATTCTCATAGCACTTTTTTTTTGATGGGTGAAAATGGAATGGTAATTCCGCCTGCGCTAATGGAATACGCTGGCGAAGCACCAGTGAAGGGTTATAGATGAGAATGAAAACAGGCCACATACTTATTGAAAATTCTTCAACAATCCATGTAATATTGTGCAATAAAATATTAAATAAATAAATAAATATAAAGGTGACAGTTGCATCTTTCCATCAGATGGGCCAATATTGTGTTTGCCATTCCAATTTGTCTAACCTTACAAAAGAAATATTCGCCACTTCTATTGGACTAATATTTTAATATTTTAAAAAGAAGAGACTTTTTTGTTTGTATTGGATAAACTTGAAAGTACCTAATCAATTCTGTAAAAGTTCTTTTACTATATTATCAGTGAGTAATATGGGCTGTCCGTGTGGTCCCGGCATAGAATAGGCCACCTCTTCCTTTCCCATGGGTGTCGTAAAAGGCGACTAAGGAAAGGCAAGGGATGGGCAGCAGCGTCCCTCTTAAAACATCACCAAAGGCTAACTGCGGTTGCCAATCCACCTGCCAAGTGTGGCCACTACTGGCAACACCTAGGGGAAGCTAATGTTCAGCAGTGGACAGTTAAAATGTGCACGACGTGCGATTATTAAATTGTTTATGACCACATTTTTTTTTTAATAAATAATACCATGTCAGGATTGCAATGGCATGGTAAATGGCATGGCAATGGCATAGCCCTCCTGCGCTATCGGTATACACTGACGGGGTACCAGTGAGAGGTGATAGGTGAGGATGAAAAGGGGGGTCAGTTAGCCCATCGTGACGAATTCAACAAGAATTGTTCACGATGGTTTCCAGGGGGAACGACGTGGAGGCCGACCTTATAGGGCATATTGCTAGCAATAGGGTTGTCAAACTCCATTGCTAACAATCCCTTCCCCCCGCCATGTCAGGATTCTACCAGTTTCAAAATGGTAACCCTACATCTAATGCAGTGTGTGAGTTCATCCAACTTTGATATCCATTGTAGGGATGAGTGGCCACTAGCACCAGCCAGCCTAGTGATTAGCGAGGAATTAAATACAATGTTACGCTCGCGTTATCTTAAACGCACAAATTGCTCGCGTGCCCGTTACACCATGACCATTGACATATCGTTAGTCGTTACATCAACAGGTTGGTCAAATTGAGCTTACCCCGCACACATAAAAGAATCTTGTCGCCATTGTATTATGGTTTATTTTTAATTGGTTTTAAAAAATAGGAAGTTTTCAATTCGCCTGTTTTTTTTTTGTGTGTATGTGTGCGTGTTAGGCGATATATCTGCCAATTGTAAAAAGATTTTGATATTTTTTTTTTCAATTATAATGATTGTTAATTATAAACTTGCGCGATTTTTTACACAAATCACGTATAAGTCGATTCTGAGACGCCTTTTTCTAAACCTATCTCTAAAAATAAAATTTGATGTCACAGCGAATCGCTGTGTGTACCTCGGCATAGAATAAGCCATTCTTTTCCCGTGGTTGTCGTAAGAGGCCACTAATTGAACTTATGGTCGAGAAATGGGCAGCGGCGTCCCTCTTAAAACATTACTAAGATCCTAACTACGGTTGCCAACCCGCCTGCCAAGCGTGCCAACTACTGGCAAAACTCACGTGAAATTATCGAATGTAAATATTAATTTCAAAGATAAGGAAAAGCGCCTCGGAATCGACACCGATGTTTACCTGTAATTGCGCTGCGTTAAGGCCAGAAATAAAAAAAAATGAAGATTATTTTTTGTCTAATAAAATCCAGTTATAAAACTTATTAACATACATAAATATCTAGTTTTGTACCAAGAGCATCGCAAACTACTTGTTTACTACCAGATTCGTAAATTTCAAAGTTCACGAGTTCAAATCCGGCTAACACTAGAAAATGACAATTGACATTTCCAACTAACTCTCGAGAGAACACTAATTTGTTTTTTTTTTTTTTTTATCAAATACAACAAACGCGGGTAGCTATATCGCCTGCCTGTAAATCAAAGACTCATTATACGCTAGGTTACGTGAGCAAGTCGAGTGTTGCCACTATGAACTTGCTTGTGATATGTTCGCAACTGTAAGAGCTGG